CCATGACCCTCCCTCAGTTGCTGCAAATACCACAAGAAATATGCGTTGTACGGATCGTCTTCCAAGACGAAGCCAAAATTGGTCTTCGTGGAGGGGTCGGCGGTGAGACGCTGCTTCATTCCTACAAGGTGTTGTTCGCCTCGACGGGAAATGAAATCAGCAGTCTTTGCCACGGCCTCGCGTACGCCGGGCGGGGGAATGACCATGTTCGAGGGGGGCTTCACGTCGAGCTCGACGACGCCGGCTGGAGCGGCATCACCGTTGGGGTTGGCCATGACGGTGTGTGTTGGTCGGGAACTTGGCTGCGAGCGATGTTGATAAGTCGCAAGAGAGAGGTCGTGGTAGAATAATGGCGAATCGCGTTGTACGTAGGTCGGCGCCAGCAAAAGAACAAATCGCGATTACTCACGTGCCACTATTTGCACGCGACGCGTATGGATACTGCGGGGGGTTCGAGTAGCAGTGGTGCAGGTTCGCGATGCGGCAGCGTCGCAAAGTTCCAGGATGGCATGCATGGTAGGCTCCTGGTCGGATCATTTAGTTGTTCCAATCCGGATCTTAGCCTCACTTTAGCCACACTCCAGCCACATCGACACTGGCAAGGCTGAGGCAGTCGGTGAAATGCTAAGTAGACGCGTCTCGGCTTATCGACGGCTGTCAAAACTCTCGGTGCAGGACCGAGTCGAGGGTCTAATTTTAGGACGACTTGTTCTCTCGAATCTACTAGATGACATGGTGAATACCAGTCGACCAAGTACCCTGATCTATATTCAGCACTTCGTTTCCCAGTTCGGCAAGGCCGCGTAGTAAGGAACAGCTTGCAACAAGGGTCAATTGGTACGCAGCACTACTCCTCGCGGGAACCCTCTTTCCCCCTGGCTCGTATCGCCGCAACTACAATTGCGGCCCCCACCCTTCACTCTTCACATTGATGGGACCTCCTTCTCACTTTCATTAATTCTTCCTTTTCCGACTAAGAGGCCCGAGTGCCCATTGCCTACGCTACAGCAGAAGCGCTGCAAGGTTCCCCCGACCCTCATCATTACCTCCCACCTTAGTCGGGCCACGCAACATCTACTCAGTACGCCGCCGCCATGGCGAGCCTCTCGGCATCCAATGCCTACCTAGGCGAGAAGCCCTCATCGCGCCGTTCCAATAGATCAAAGTCACGATCACGATCGCGGAACGGCAGAAAGCAGCAGTCGCAGCAGAAAGTTCGAAGTTACGCCTCCGAGGGTGTCAAGGACAATGACATCTTCAGCCTCCCGGGCTCTGACTGGTCGTTGCTAGCCGTACTGATCGCCATTGCAACTGCTGTAAGGCTCTTCAGGATCCAGCAGCCGACCAGTGTTGTCTTTGACGAGGTCCAGTAAGTCATTCTTGTTGATATGGCTTTTGTGAATGCGGACTGACAGGGTCATTGTAGCTTCGGTGGATTCGCCTCGAAATACATCAAGGGCAGGTTCTTCATGGATGTCCACCCGCCGCTTGCGAAGCTCCTCATTACACTTGCTGGATGGTTGGGCGGATTTGACGGAAACTTTGACTTCAAGGACATTGGCAAGGACTACCTTGAGCCAAATGTTCCCTATGTCACTATGCGTCTGTTGCCCGCCATCTGCGGTGTCTTGACCATTCCGACCATGTTCCTGACCCTAAAGGCTGCTGGATGTCGCACCACCACAGCAGCGTTGGGTGCAGGTCTTGTCATTTTCGGTAAGACGCTAATTGTAGCCGCTGTTGCACCTGATACTGACCTTTTCAAGATAACGCTCTCGTCACCCAGTCTCGCCTCATCTTGCTCGACTCTCCGCTCATCATCTTCACCGCCCTTACCGCGCTCGCATGGACCTGCTTCATGAACCAACACGAACAGGGACCCCCCAAGGCCTTCAAGCCATTGTGGTGGTTCTGGTTGGCTGCTACTGGTCTAGGACTTGGTGCGACTGTCAGTGTCAAGTGGGTCGGCCTGTTCACCATCGCTTGGGTCGGCAGTCTGACACTTGTACAACTATGGGTTCTGCTTGGAGACCACAAGAACGTAACACCGAGGCTGTGGTTCAAGCACTTCTTTGCACGCCTCTTTTGCTTGGTTATCATTCCCGTCTCCTTCTACATGGCCATGTTTGGAATCCACTTCCTCTGCCTTGTTAATCCTGGCGAGGGTGATGGGTTCATGTCTTCTGAGTTCCAGGCAACTTTAAACTCCAAGGGCATGCAAGATGTACCGGCAGATGTTGCGTACGGAAGCCGCGTCTCACTGCGCCATTGGAACACGCAGGGCGGATATCTTCATTCTCACAGCCACATGTACCCTACCGGAAGCAAGCAACAGCAGATCACTCTATATCCTCACAAGGATGAGAACAACATCTGGATCTTGGAGAACCAAACCCTGCCAATTATGCCCGAAGACTACACTGGTCCTAACTTGACTAGCCCGAAAGCCTGGGACGGCGTAGGCCCCTTTCATATTGAAAACGGCGCCATCATTCGTCTCTACCACATCACTACCGACCGACGTCTCCACTCTCACGATGTTCGCCCACCTGTTACCGAAGCAGACTGGCAGAATGAAGTCTCGGCGTATGGCTATCAGGGTTTTGAGGGCGACGCCAACGATCTCTTCCGCGTTGAGATTATTCCGAGCAAGTCGGATGGAGCTGAGGCTAAGAAGCGCCTTCGTACCATCCAGTCCAAGTTCAGGTTGATCCATGTGATGACTGGCTGCGCACTATTTTCTCACAAGGTGAAACTTCCCGAGTGGGGCTTCGAGCAACAAGAGGTTACGTGTGCCAAGCAAGGCACCCTGCCCAACAGCATATGGTACATTGAGGGCAACGTGCATCCACTAATGGTGGATGGGGAAGTGGAGAAGGTCAACTACCGCAACCCTGGCTTCTTTGGGAAGTTCTGGGAGTTGCAGAAGGTCATGTGGAAGACGAACGCCGGTCTGACAGAGTCGCACGCCTGGGATTCTCGTCCTCCCTCATGGCCTATCCTCCGCCGAGGTATCAACTTCTGGGGCAAACACCACCGCCAGATCTACCTGATCGGAAATCCTGTCATCTGGTGGAGCTCCACAGCGCTGATTGCTCTCTACGTTGCTATCAAGGGCATTGCCATTCTCCGATGGCAGCGTGGCTACCGTGACTACAACAATGTCGTATTCAAGCGTTTCGATTATGAAGTTGGCATGAGCATCCTAGGATGGGCGTTCCACTACTTCCCTTTCTACCTAATGGCGCGTCAATTGTTCTTGCATCACTACCTTCCGGCTCTATACTTTGCCATTCTTGCGCTTTGCCAGATCTTTGATTTTGTAAGCTACCGGTTCAGCGTGTTTGGACTCAGGGAATATCCTGCTATTGGCCAAGCAGTAGCTGTCGGTTTCCTGGCGGTTGCCATTATGGTCTTCACGGTTTTCTCGCCGCTTGCATACGGCAACCCATGGACTAAGGATGCATGCAACAGTGTCAAGCTTTTCAACAGCTGGGACTGGGAGTGCAACAACTTCCTCACTTCGGTAAGCTAATTGGACATGGTATGATGAGTTCAATCTGACAATTTACAGTATGAAGCATACAGCCAGAGTGAACCTCTGGCATCATCAGCATCTGTGCCATCATCAGCGCCGGCTGCACCCCCTGTGCTCAATGTCCAGCCTGAACAGCCAAAACAGCAGCCGGAGTTGGTAAAGCAGGAAGGCGTCGTCGATGAAGCGGCTGTTTCGGCCGCACCCCAGGAAGTTCGTCAGGACATGCCTGTTATTGCGAAGGAAGAGCGTGTCGAGTATCGCGACGAAAAGGGCCGGGTCCTTAACGATGCAGAGGTTGAAGCGCTCAAGGGCAAGGTTAGCTTCAAGACGCGCTATGAGACGCGGACGCGCCTTGTTGATGACGAAGGCAACGAGGTTTTTGATGAGCTAGTCGAGTCGCACGATGAGGCTGAGGAACATGGTGTTGCGCCTCCTCACCCTGATGTCGAGGGCCAAAATCCAGAAACGCGGGAGCAAGGTGCGGCAGTTGAGGCTAGTGAGGTACCGCCGACTGTGGAGGTGGCTGAGGACCAAGAAAAAGAGAAGAGCATTTTGGAACGTCAAGAGGAGGCCCAGCCTGCCAGTGAGGCCAAGACAGCGACGCAAGACACGGAGTAAGAAGGTTTATTCTTGTTGGCATGGCGCCTGTATGGCAGTCAGTTGTACCTCCCTCTTTCTTTTTTTTTCTTTTACTATAGGGAGGGACATGTATTAGCAGAGTGTGGGGCGGGCGGCACTAGGGTCTGTATGGCACACGGGGGCATAAGTATAACGGCAGAGTGGAGTAGGTTTCATCTGTATGATTATCTATAATGTGTTTTTGACAAGGTGCATGTTGGCCGGGAGAAGGGGTGCTGTGATGATGGATGCTAAAAGTGTGGCGCAGGTAAGTAGGTAGGGGCGGAGTGTCCACATGACTGTTGATAAGCGTACAAGATGAGGATGGCTATTAGGTTTGCGGACCAGGACGGCGGCCATGGACAGACATGCATCGGAAGGAACAGCCGGATTGACTTGACGGAGCATTTTCTGTCAGTCGCATGGCCAAGTTGGCGCCACGTACGTATCCACAGCAGCCGGGCCGCAATGATATGCTGTGTGCACTGGGACATGGGCGTTGGGCAACGATGCAGGGTCCGATTGCGTCTCTGGCCTGGCAGACACGAGATACGCCACCAGCACACGGCTTCACCTCTTCGTCGACGCCACACGCCCCGCACCAATCAGACCCGGGCCAAGCAGTGCGTGGATGAGGCTTGTGTCGTCCGCCGTGGTTAGAACCACACCACGGGGCTCTTTGATGGGCCAGAACAGTCGGGCTCAGGGCAACGGGTCGAGCGGAGGGACGAGGACGGCGGGGGGATCGGAAGGGCAGGAGGCGATCTCCAATCTAGATCCTAGTCGATCGCTGCTGTGCAGACGGTGCAAAACAAGGAAAAAGGCCGTTCACGAGTTTTGTTCTTTACGTCCTGCTCCATGCCATGCCTTGTCCACTCCACTCCCCTGCATTCCGCACCTCTCTCTTTCCACTCCCTTGGTGGCAACGGCGGAGTCGGTCGGGGGAGCAGGGAGTAGCACCGCCGCCACCGCCTGCCATTGCACACGCAATGCTCAGCACCACCTCCCACGCGCCCGGGCCGCGCAAACCTGGCCGTGTAATCGGCGCGAAAGAAAAGATTGCCAAAAGAGACTGGAGAAGAAAAGAAAAATCTCGAACGTTCCACCCAATGGCCATGCTTCGGATACGATTGATGGACTTGGGTCGCTCGGTGGCGACAAAAGACATGCGCGCAGTCGTCGAGCTGAGGATCCTCGCGAGAATAGCCACACGGAGAGTCGCACCACCACCACGACGAGGGCAGAACAGGTGAGCTTAGAAATGCACAATCGTCCAGCCTCTGCTCTCCCCTTCTCTCTGCTTCCTTCACCATCGTCCTACTCTCTTTTTTTCCTCCATCAACTGCCAATCCTCCGCGGAGTCGAGCTCAAAGCCACACGCAGGAAACTGCGCCAGACTATAAATTAAACAATGCGGTCTAGCCGCGCATCGACGATTTCTAAAACCCCTCCCCGGTTTGTGCAAAATCCCATGTGCACAGCATCGTGAATTTTGCAATTGCCCAACCGACACACCGGCACCCTCGCTTTTGCTGCCCTCCAGCGGCTGCACTCGAGCAGGGGCTTCTCTTGCACATATCTTTTCTTATTATCCTAGCAACCTTCTTTTGATCCTCATTTTTTATTTGCTTTGCTCCAGTCCCCATTTACTTTACTCCCATCCTCGACCTGGTCATCCCACTGTCCACCCCCACCCTACCGCTATCAGTCAGCAGCAGTCATGGCGCCCAACGCACGCCAGACGTCCAGCACAGCGTCCGAGGCCAGCAGCCACTACTGTCCACACTGCATCGACGCCAAAGACGGTCCAACGCCCACGCCCCATACCCACAACATTGGCGACTCGTACATTCAACAAAGCATCGAGATACCGCCCCCGCTGTCCACCAGGGCGCCCACCAGAATGACAAACTCGCCATCTGGCCCCCACATCATCTACATTGTTACCGACACTTGCTACCCGACTGCCCAAAGTCTCGAGGCCAACATTGGCAGCACGCACATCATCTCCGTGCACTCGACTAAGTCGGCAGCCAACAGCCGCGCTAAGAAGATAATCTACGACAACGACAGTGGATGCACCGTCGACATTGACAAGATCATCGAAGAAGTCAAACAGGGAATGTACGTCGGCATAGGTATTGGTGCAAAGAACGAGAAGGAAGGGTGCTGCTTTGCAAGGAAATGTGAAGTCGAGGGCAAGATCGTTGACGAGGACAGCGATAGCGAAGAGACGAGTGGAGAGAGTGGAGAGAGCGAATTCATAGATGCCACCAACGACGGCGAGGGCGAGGGTGATGTTGACGTAGACATGGGCTGATGATGATGGCGCTGCAGAAGAAAGATGAGAGCGTCCAAGAGCAGTCTTGCCGGGCACCTGGAGATGTCAAGAGGGTGGAAGACGGCGCATGTTGGAAAGATGGTGGGAGCTAAAGGCTAGAGATTGGAGTCGTGCAGACCGCCAAGACCATTCCCACGCACCAGGAACCAGGAGCCAGGTCGCCTGCGGGAAAAAGAAAATAATCTGCGCAAGGTGGTGGCTGCCAATGGATCATGCGGCTGACGGTTCCTCCCGGAAGTTGCTGCTTGCAGCCGAGACCGGCAGAACTACAACTGCGCCAACAGTGGTCGAGCTACAGCCGGACTGTACGCTGCAATACCACTAGGTATCACGGTCTGTCGCCGACCATGAAAACGATACTACGCAATCATCCACTCGACGCAAGCCCTCAAGCGCCCGCTTCAGGTCATCTGTTTGTTTGATACCCCCCCCTACAGCTCCCGTACGAGACTGAACCTTGATGAGCTCTACTCGACGGTCTAAAGAAACATCAGTGGTAAGATGATAGTATGTTGGGGAAGACTGGGCAGGACGCATAGGTGTCGACGGTAACAACTTGTATGGATGAACGTGATGTTAATGTACAGTAGTTTTGCTACTTCACAAGGTACTAGCAGGAAAACTTTCTGCTCACTAGTATGACACACGCAAGAAAACAAAACAAAGAGTCCTTCATGGGTTTGTACGCCAACAACGAAACGAATCTGACTGTCTCCACTTCCTTTCCACTCTTGAACAATATCCTGACAATTGCACACTTAGGCTCGATATGATACCCAGGTGTCAATGGATAGTCTCCACAATTGCGCATCCAACTTTTGCGCTCTGGAAGTTATCATACATCTGAACACTGCTTACCAAGCGCCTTCGGTATCATCTCTTTTGTTGCTGAGCTTGCCTTGAGCTTGAATAGGGCATGTGCTTACACTATATATCTGTGCTACTATCTTCTTATAAGAGACCAGTTGTCTAATATGAAGATCATCTGAACTGCCATTACTGGGGGCTACTTCCCTCGACAGTGGTAGTAACTCTTGGGCTTGATATGCCATGCCAATTTGCTCATACTGACCGTGAGTCCGAGAGACATTAACAGGTGTTCTATTGATTGTTTGCCATTGACGCAACTGTTCGAAAAGGACATGGTATCCGAATAAACTGCTCAAGACGAGACACTGTAAGTCTGAGGAGCCTGTCTGAAAGGGGCAACGAGGTCTAGTAGAATGGTTCTGACTCAGTCACAGAAAGCAATTTGTTCAACGTAACTAGAACTAGAAGATGCCTGCTGTTCGTTCCCAGAAAAGTAACTTTAATTGCAGCCCTATCCCCAGCCATGCGTATGGTGCAGTTGGACTATTCCATGCACGGGCTACATGTAGCATTATCTGTAGATGGGAAAGGAAGATGCTGCTCGTTCTCGGCAGACGCAATAATGACGAAAGCCGACAGGACCTGTTACTTGGGCATTGCAGTTTGGGCGTTCCTGCAGGTGAGTAAATTGCCAAGTCAAGGATGTGATCGTATGTCGTTGCTCAGGGTCCAGCAAGCTTCCACCCCCGCCCGATTACATCCCATCCAGTCGTTTCCCTCACCACCCTAGGACGTGGGGAACATACGTCATCGGGCATCGCAAACAGGCATTGCAAAACCAAAGACATGCCATGACCCCCGCTGCTCATCATGTCGACGACTCCACCTGCAACTCGCCGAAAATGTCAGCTGGATACTACCCAAAACGCGAAAAGGTTGGCCTTGAAGATCTCTTCAGAGGGCTAGTCACAGCAAGCCACATCCTCGACCACCATGGCCTTGTCGATGCATACGGGCACATTTCTGTGCGCTCTCCGGATAACCCAGCGACATTCTGGATGCCATGCAACATGCCACCGGCGCTGATTAGCACGCCAGAAGATCTAGTCGAGTACCACGTTGACAGCGCTGAAGCGGTCGAGAAAGATGCAAAGCCCGGGTATCTGGAGCGATACATTCATAGTGAGATTTACAAGCGATTCCCAGCCATCAACAGTGTAGTCCATAGCCACGCGGGCGATGTGCTTCCTTATTGCATCAGCGGGGTACCATTGAAGAATACGATTCACATGGCTGGTTTCTTGGGTAAACTTTGCTCCTTCTTTAAGAGAAAGACTCATGGACTGTCAGAATGCTGATTCTGGTAACAAACAGGATCAAAGGTTCCTGTGTGGGACGCCTCGAGTAGCTATCCGTCGGGCTCAAAACATAGTCTGCTTGTGAGCAACACTACGCTGGGTGCTTCTCTTGCTGCGACATTCAAACCTGCTACTTCAACCGGCTTCATCTATTCCAAGGTTCGTTCGGCGCTACCATCGCAGCTAGGCGGTGCGTCTTCGGAGCCTCAACTGGAACCGGATCATGCGGTCGTTCTTATGCAAAGCCATGGATTCGTGACTGTCGCGCATGGGATCGAGGAGGCTGTATACCAGGCCATATACACAAGGGAGGCTGCAAAGGCGCAAACGGCGGCCATGACGATACAGAATGCGCACACTGGATACGCGCTCGAGGGCAAGGTTGATGTTGACGCTGGTGGAAAAATCAAGTCTGGCCATGCAAAGGCCGAAGGCGGCAACTTGAAATACTTGAGTGACAGAGAGTGTCATGACGCCTGGGAAGCCATGTCCGGGACAATTGCAAGACCATGGGCGCTGTGGTCTCGACAGGTGTCGCTCAGTCCGTTGTACAAGAATGATTGTCCTGCAGGCGAGGATTAAACGGCAGCAGCGCTCTTTTGCACGCGATGCGCTATCAATTTTCTACCACGTTTCTTGCCTTGCTAAGAATAAAGTATTCGTTGTTTCACGAGGACAGTGACATGACATTGTCTATCCCAAATTCCCTTGCAATCTTACCCTGAAACGGACTAACTAACGGCAGACAGACAGCCATCGCGGAGAAATGTCGTTATTCGCATGCTGATGAAATAAAAGGCCGCGGCTAAAGAACAGCGGTTAACCCCAAAGCAATCAAAATCTTCACAGCCCTAACTGCTTTGTTACTTGCCTTCCTTGTTCGCAGGCAGATATTCCACCACTAATATCCAGATAATAAGCTAATCAGCCCGTTCATTTATACCAAACCGGTGGCCCCAAAGTCCTTGGCCTGTGTCCGTTTCTGGTTGAAAGGAAAAGCTTAATCGCAGCAAGGCGAAAGCTTCGCCATTGCTTATTGCGCATCAAGATCGATATGACATGTTTTGTTATCTAGGGGGGGGGGGAGTGAGCATCACAAAGTTCCGGCTATTTGGCACGAGCAAAAGAAAATATGACATTGCAACCCATCAATTCAACGTCCTGCGTGAAGCGGTCTCCCCATATTCTAGCACCAGGCGCACCCCTAAACTGAAACGCAGGGCGCCAGTCAAACCCTCTCTAGTAGCGTGTTGTTGACGCGGACAAAATGGTGAGATCTCGGAACGTGCCTGTGTAAGAGAGAGATTTCGAAAAGTCGTTCATCTCGGTTGGCTGGCACGTTCCACCCCTGGTCGTAAGCACCGAAGGTAGGGGTCTTCCCTCCCGCCCTCCCAAGTCATGGTATATATCTGCTGAGATAGGAAATTGAGGGGAGATTGAACGACGGAAAGGCTAGTGCCTGTGTGGAGGATTTGTTTCGTGCACGTGCGGGGGTACAGGGAAAACATTTGTATATGGGGGGGAAGGGTTGCCCTGCAAATTGTTTTGTTCGGTACATTGCATACAGCCTTGCTCTTGTTTTGATCGGGGATCTGTAAAGTACAGGTCGAGTGGTCTTGTATCCATAACCTTTCATTTCAAACATTGTCCATATTCTATTCTACACTTTCTTTTTCTTCCCACACTCTTTCCATCCATCCATTCATTTTTTTTCTCTCCTTCATCGCTAGAACCCCCGGGAGGTTCTACCACACAACCAAACAATGTACCTCCGCACCGCCCTCCTCACCCTCGCCAGCACCACCACAACCCTCGCCGCCTTCGGCGTCACCAAAGGAAAAAACAGCATCACCATCGACTCGGGCGCCCCTTCCTCCTCCTCCCCTTTCCTCTTCACAGTCAACACCCTAAACTGCGACATCACATCCCTCAAGTACGCGGGCGAAGAACTCCAATGGCCCGACAAAGGCTCACACATTGAAATGGGCCTCGGCTCCGCCACTGTCACCTATACCACCATCGGCACCCAGTACATCAAGATCACCTGTACGACGCCTACGCTCACACAGTACATGGTTGTCAAAGCCGGCGAATCGACCATCTACATGGCTACGGATATCACCGAGGAACCGACGATTGGCGAGTTGAGGTTTATAGCGAGGATCGATAGTGGAAAGTTGCCGCTGAGTTATCCGTTTGGGGTTGTGTCTACGACGGCGAATTCGACGGCGACGGTCGAGGGGTCCGATGTTTTTGTTGTTGGGGGAGAGACGAGGAGTAAGTTTTATTCGAGTGAGAGATTTATTGATGATGCTGTGGTAAGTTTATTTTACTTTCTTTTAAAAAAAAACCCCTCTGTTTTTGGTTTGGGGGGGGGGGGGAGAATGAAGGTGGGCTGACAGGATTCCAGCACTGTGTGTACCGCGATACAAATGCGATTCACGCTTGTTTGCTAATGGATTCGTACTCGTATGAGACATCAGCTGGTGGACCGTTCCATCGCGATATCAATACTAACAACGGCGGTGCGTCGAATTCTCTGACGTTCTACATGAACAGCAATCATGTTCAGTTGGAAAAGTATCGCATGGGGATGAAGGGTCCGTATGCGCTTTCCTTCAGCCGGTCGAGCATCCCCAAGGGCGGGTCAAGCATGGACACGACATTCTTCAAGGATCTCTCGATACCAAACTATGTCCCCCCTTCAGCCCGAGGCACTGTGACAGGAAAAGCAACAGGCGTGAGTTCAAGCGCGCAAGCAGTGCTCCACTGGTACAACGACGCAGCACAATACTGGGCGTACGCCTCTTCCTCGTCTGGAACTTTCACTTCGCCCGCCATGAAACCGGGGACATACACGCAGGTCCTGTACCAAGGCGAATTCAAAGTAAAAGCCACGAGCGTAACCGTAGCAGCAGGGCGCACGACAACAGCCAACATCGCCGCCGACACGGAGCCCAAAACCTCGCTGTGGCGCATCGGTGAGTGGGACGGCCAACCCAAAGGCTTCCGCAACGCAGACAAGCAACTCCGCATGCACCCGTCTGATTCGCGCATGGCGTCCTGGGGGCCCCTCACGTACACCGTCGGCACGAGCGCGCTCGACAGCGTGCCCATGGCCCTCGTCAAAGACCTCAACCCCCTCACCATTGCCTTCACCGCGAAGCAGAAAAACAGCACGTCACTCACCCTGCGCGTAGGCACTACCCTCGCGTTTGCGGGCTGCCGTCCCGCCGTCACGGTAAACACTAGTTTCAGTGCCCCCGTGCCCGCTGCCCCGACAAAGATTGCCTCGCGCGGCTTCACGCGAGGCGCCTACCGTGGGTTCGGCGAGGTCTACAATTACGCTATCCCTGCCGGTACCCTCGTCGAGGGCGCAAATACTATTCGCATCGCCTGTGTGAGCGGTGAGTCTGGGACGGGCTTCTTGGCTCCTAATGTCATTCTTGATGCGATAGAGTTGTTGGAGTAAGAAAGCCAAGGGGTTGGGGAGAAGATAAGCGGTGGTTTTTTGATAGTAGTATGTAGTTTAATATCCATGGTTTTGAGAAGGGGAAACACACATACACACCGATGACCAACTGCTACGGCCGAAAAGCCTTTTTCGCTTTCTGTGACAAAAGAGTTCTGTCTGTAATCTGTGCTTTTGCTCACACCGTGTTTCAGAGAAGGGCTATGAGCGATTTTTTTTTCTTGTCTTTCTCGGTCAGCTCGCGATGCGTCTAGTGATGGGAGCTGCAAGTCAGACGCAAGTCGGTAGTCAGCATGAGCCCGGGCCTTGGGGCTTGCAGTATGTGCGCCGAGTTCTCTTTTCCCATAGGAGAAAAGGTGCATAATTGGGGGGTTGGATGGAGATGTTGGAAACATCTGTGCCCGAGATCATGTAATATGTAAGGAGTATAAGTGGTTGTGCAAGCACATGTACTGATAAATACTCGGCACTTGAGTTATATTTTTAGACAAGGTAAGAGAACCCGCTCTTGATTTCACCGATGTTAAAGTTTAAGTACTATCGTATGTTTTTTGTTCTCTTACTCACTCAGACACTAGGCTGCAAAAGCGACGTTCAGGTAACCCAAGTTGTCAAAGTGGCAGGTCTGTACTTTACCCTATCAGCTGAGACGTACGAGTCAGTAATGAAATCAGGCCCATGGTGTTGATCCTTCGGGGATCAATTTTGATAGGCAAACATGGACTTTGTACATATTAGAGACAGGGCATGGGCAGGATTCAACATCCCTGTATCGGCCGCCGGTTAAGGTGCAGGGACTTTGATGGAAACTTCACCACGTCCGTGCAGGAGGAGGAAGTAGTGCGGGATCATACTCCCGACGTTCTTTCGGGAATAGCATGGTGGTGGCCAGGCGTGTTTGTCGCGGCAGTTTGGGCATTGATAGTGGCGCAGTCGTTGGCAACAGACGCTTCCCCGGATCTCTCCTGCACGACACCAGGCAATAAACCGAGGTAAACCGTATCAAGCCTAACCAGGATTTGCAAAGGGCTCGTGAGGAATACGAGGCCTTGGGGAATTTTTCTCGGCGTGAAATGGCAAGATGCGAAATCAAAATATATTGGATTCCGGTCGGGGAAGCGAAGTGGTCATCCGACTTGTGGTAGTAATCCCAGGTGCTGCCTGACCATGTGCACAGAGGATGACGCCTCAAGCTGTTAATCCACCAAGGAAACATGGGGCACTCGACAAGCTGAAGATCTGGGGAGGTCCCCTTGGTAGCAATAAAGTATAGCTTTTGCGACCCTTGGTAACCTTTGCCCCATTCAATACGCTGTAGACAGATCGACGGGAAGGCAGCTGAAGATGCGACAGCATACAGAGGTAAATTAAATTGCAAAGTGAGAAGTCTAACTTCGGGCAACTGCATTAGCCTATACCGGGGTACGCCATGAAAGTGCACAGACTGGGATTTGGGCCATTGTGGGAGTCAGGGTGCATGACTTGCAGCATCAATATACCAGTTGAGAGAGGACACAGACCTAGTTTTGTAAGCAAACGGGTCGATAAGCTGGCTTGGATATTGCGTCATGTCGGAGCATGGTATTGAGACAAGTCCAGCTGCGCCACGCAATGCTGTGCATTATGTCAGCAGGGGTCACGTATGCATGCGAAAGTGCGTGCTGTTGGTGGGCGGCTACGGCGAGGTGCTGGCAATGGTGGTTGGCGTACGTGGATGCTGGGCGAGAAAGGAGGCTGTCGAGAGAGCGAGAGGGGGGGGGGAGAGCAAAAGATGGGACCGGTTTTTGGTGGTACTGGGGAATCGGAAGCCGCGGAAAGTCGCGGTATGAAGCCATGCAGGAAGTGTTGCAAGTAAGTGTCGGTGGATAAAGAGGCTCGGACATGTACTAGTCGAAGGAGCATGTGAGGAGGAGGAGCATCGTGGGTGGATGAGTGGAGGGTATCAAGAGCAGGCCGTGCTAGACGAGGGCTGAGGGTGGTTTCTAGAATGTTTTGGGAGTGCAGGTGCTTAGATCACCGATGGGACCAGAGGCCGATAGGAGTTTTCGCGAGCTGTGGGGTGTGGTCGGTCGCGCGGGTTAGGGATGTGGGTGTGCAGGCTAGGCTGGATTGGGCGTGATCCTGTTCGCCCGGAAGGCGCAACAGGCAATGATTACCAGATGGAGAAATGGATGGTGATTTGGTGCCATCGGACGCCCGTATGAGACGAGACATGGCATGGCACGGCAGTCGACCGGCGCGGCTGACTGCAGGTGGAGAGGAGGGGCTGGTGACGATGATTTGTCCAATGTATCTGGTGACGGTCGATTGACGAGAAGCGAGATGGGTGTGTGTGTGGCGATGAAAGAAGTAGACTAGTAGTGTAAGTAGAGTAGACGTCGAGGCACAGCAGTGTGGCGTTTGCTGGGCGACATGGGGATTGGGGATGGGCATTTGTGAAAAGCTTTTTGTCAAGCACAGTAGCATGTAATAGTCGGGTGGTAGTGTGTAGCAGTAGGCGTGGTTGGCTGACTCGGCATGGACAAGAAAGTAGCGGCAGCAGGCGTAGGGGACCCAAGGGCGGAGAACAGGTGTTTGAAGCCGTCTGGCCGCCTCGCGTGCAGGACGTGTACCGATGAGTTGGGGGGGCGAGTAACGGGCAATAGGAAGTGCTGCCGAGACGCATCCTGTTGCTGCACCCGCTTTGGGCCTAGCGCGTCGACTCGTCTCCTGCTCATGCTCATTGCTCATGCTCGACGAGGCCTGGTCGGGAAACGCCGTTGCCATGGGATGGGATGGGCTTTCATCAATCAATCGCCGCCAGACAGCCTTGCTCGCATCTCCCTGGGGCGCCTTGAGGCTATTCGGCGAATTCATGCGCGCTTAGCTCTGGCAGTGGTCAGGTCACCGCGACGGCCACGGCGGCGGGGAGTCGCTAGCCAAGGCACACGGAAGCGCGAGCCCTGCCCCATGGATGGCTTCAAGTCATGACCCAGATTGGTCCACTGCCCTCTGCCAGCGGTGAGGTGGCCACGAGCTGCTGTCCCTCTTTGTCGCTGATACCGGTCGTCGTGGCTATCCTCCTCCGTCCACTCCTCCTGGTCCATACCTCATCGTCGATCCCGTCGACGCCCTGCCCGCCCTGGCCACGCCCCTGCATTCACCCCCATCCCACGCGACAACCGCTCTGTCTCTGTCCTGGCCCGTCGTATACGGCTCTTCCGCCTGACAGCCGGTCCACCTTCAGCTGCCCACTGATCTCCGCCGGCACCTTTCGCCCGCTAGCACTACCTACTTACACTCCTTCAGCATATCCACCCATCAAACAACCCCCCCCCTCACCTCAGGTCATCCTCTGCTTGCCCACAAGCCTGTCCCTCATTGGCCCCGACTCCTCCACCCCCTCCTGACCAACCAAACCAAACCCTCAAGCCATCCCGCCAGCAGTGGACCCTGCCGCGCCCTACCCACTCTACTGCATGCCCAAGGCCAGGCTCATTATGTGCCACACGAGCCGCCTTTCAAGGAACACCCGTCTCCCACCCTCGTCGTATATATCACACATCCCACCTGTCTGACCGATTGCCCCCCCCCCTTCCCCTAGCGCCCTCCACCCCATCACCACTACCTTTTCAAGTCTAATTACCATCTTGCTGTAAATCCATTCCTTTCAAAGCGTCTCACTTGCTACATAGCTAGCCTTCTCTCTCACCTCGTTCTCATAGCTCACCATGTCTTTCTCCTACCAGTTGCAAATGATCAACCAGTCCTTCGAACGAATCGCATCATGGTAGTATGTGTAATCTGCAGTGCCCCCGATCGTTGGACAATCATACTAACTACCACAGCCATGAGTTCATGCGAAGAACAGAGCTGTGCTTCCGGAAGATGAACGAGCGTATACTCCGACTGGAGCAGAAGCAGCTCGCCCATGGCCCTACAGACGAGCAGGTTGAGCGCGTGTTGCGCAAGATCCTAGCCGAGAGATTCGCTCCTCTCGACATGCCTCAAGTCAAGTTGGCCGACCATAGCCAGAGCGTTGGCTGGTTCGTCCAAGACCCCAACGAACACTTGTACCCGAGATCAATCAAGATGGACGTCGCCTCCCTTCTCGTCTCGCCCGAGTCTGTCCCATCGCGTGCCTATGCAGAGACTTTTCAGATGCTCGAGGACGATGTCAACGATTATCCTGGCGATGACCTGCTCATGGATGACGACGAGGACCAAAAGATATATCTCGGGCATCTCAGCACTCGCCCTTCTCACAGGGTTTAACCAGCACATGTGTCCTCAACTCACATCCACCCTGGGCAACGTCGACAACTCACTCACTCACTCACACACTCACTCGGCCCCTCCCATCTCCCACCTGGACCTCTGTCACCAGTAATACGGCTCCGCCCCCCATCACCTTGCGCCTGCCCCAGACCACACGTCCCACAAACTGCCTCGATACGCCTCGTCAAGACCAACCGCAATGGTCTCCACCTCAGACGTCTGGCACGCGACCGCTCCGAACACCCATGATCGACCCCGAACTACCGCTTTCGGGATTTCTTCAACACCTCTAATGTACGTACGAGCGTCTTACGCTCCATGGAACGAATGCATCATCGATAGTGTAGTATGCACTACAGGTTTCATTACCACCTTTACTGCGCAACAAAGCGCATATAATACCTCATTCTTCGGCTCGTCAAGGGCAAAGACTCGGTACTGCGTATACCTTATAGCGAGCATGAATAGGCCCCATGTTGCCCTTCTGCATGCCAGGACATTGTACCTAGTTAGATAGTCCTTCAGGATGTACCTGGCTTACACATATGTCTGTCATGTGTAGCCTTTACACCACACCATATATGAAAATTCTTGGGAACACTATACACTTCTTGCCCAAAACTACTGGCGTTGCCAGGTTGGCAATCACTCTGCCTGAACGCGTGTTTCGCAATACCACCCAGCAACTGGCACTGCATCTGCCGGCTGGGTACCTAGGAATGGGCCACGCGACACGGACCCTGAGCACACGAGTGCGGCCCGCACAATATTGGGGACCATTGGCTTTGTGTTCTGTTGAACAGGTCTGCAATTAGGCGGTGACGGGCGATCGAGTACGACGGAGGGGATGACGCAACGTAGAATGCTTGGAAGTTGTGCAACTGAATCCCATCCTTCTGGGGCCGACCACTACCAGAGCAGCGGAACATTGTTCCGGGCCAGTGTCACCCTGTCAAGGGTCGTCTGGGGCGTTGCACTTATTGTGGTTCTGGGGTATACACTGGTGTCGGCCTTCGTACCCGGCGGCACCTGGACTAGCGTGGGGGCATGTCAGATCTCATCTAGATCTGTCCGCAAGCCATCGCATCCTCCAAACCACGATGCAATCCTTTTTGCGCCCCCCTGGGTATACAGGCATGGGCCCCGCTCATAAGGCGGTATGTTCAACAGCAACAACAACAGCAACTGCAACCCGCGCACTAGGGGAGGGCAAGTATTACCGGCCCTCCTTCCCGCGTTACTTACACCCACCCACCCACCCACCCACACACACACACACACACACGCGCGCGCGCGCATCACCACGATTTAAACTACATCATCAGATCGCCCCACTATGTCCCCGTCTCCACTCGTTCCCACCCAGAATGATACTCACTACCCTGATTCATGTCCTCCGAATTCCTTCGGTCCTTTGATTAGTCGACAAATGCTACCTCGACCCAGCCAAGCCTAGTCAGCCACACCTAGTGCGTCAAGCCAGTGAATGTCACAGTGCCCGACAGCCCAAGTTTCTCGACGCAACGTGGGAGCCCGATTAGCACGACTGCGCCATCTGAAATGTCAATAGTCCATCATGTTTCGCTAATCCACCCCGAAACACCTCGAGACCGACGTCCACCACCCATCCTCACAGCGGGCTCCGCGGCAAGCGGTGTGAGCATCCTCACCGGACTGCTTATCATGGACCATGCATCTTCATCAGCTTCGTCATGACATTCATACCGCGGAAGGACTTTTGCATATGTACGTATGCCACCATGTCAACACCTGACCCCTGGATAAGCCACATTCAAGCATGTCACCATCACAACACCAGGTTTTTTTCCTTAACTGAGCAGCGCATCAGCCTATCGCTGCAATGTGTGGATATAGTTTCTCTCGTTAAGCACCACCGCATGACGCTCTTGTCCCAATCGCCACCCAACGGCCGGCATTCCCACAGGGAAAATGAACGCCTCATTCCGCTTGCATGCGGCGCACTTTGGGCCTCAACAAACATTGGACCTGCGCCCAAACTTCGAGCCAATTACGACTCATACTTTGCTCGGCTACGCCTTCGAGGGTGTGGCTTGTGACCTTACCTGAAGCATTAGATTGAGCAGGTCTCACATCAGAAATGCACCTTTTTGCTTTTTCCCCATCATGCAACATGGCAATCACTGTGCCAGTTGTCGTTGTCGTATTAGTTCTCACGCCATTGTCATTATTATTATTATCAACATGCTATTCTCCAATTGCGAAGCTCGTACGAATTTACAAGCCACAGCCGCAAGCTGGGACTCCCGGGCGCTTCGGCCGTATGCCTCCCCCGTTTTCCTTTTCTATATGGCCACGCTTCACAATATCCTCGGCCCGAAGCGGCATACTTACTATCAACCAAATCCGTAGCAGTCGCGTGCGCGTTCACATCCACCACCAAAACATCGTGAAACTCGGCGTGGCCTTCTTAGCTTCCCCAGAAGCTAGGAGGCCTCATTAATCAAGGCGGAAATCGACTCGGAAAATCCACGAGAAGCAATAATCGCGAATGCCACCAACTCACGCACCGCAAAACAGTGGATACGGGGCCCCCCGCCCCCGTGACAACAACGACGGTAATGTGCTTCCGGGAAGCATGTCAGCCCGGCACGAGCCTTGGAGGAATCTTTGCCTGTGATGATTATCCCGCCGCCCCGGGCGCGGATCCAAACCATTGGGTTTTTGCTCTCTTTTTCTCTCGTGGCTATCCGGCTTCCGTGGGCGTTGGTAAAGAAGCAAAGCAATGACTGTGCTTTCTGCGACGAAAGTAAAAAAGTAAAAGGCATCGGTACCCAACTACTTACTACCCAAATAAGTACATTCCAGAAAGAAAGAAAAAAAACACCTACCGCTCTCGGGTTCCAACAAGAGCTTTGTTGCTCGGCCCGCGGAATCTCTCAAGTAACGCGTCTACTACACAGGGCGAACTAGTAGAGCTGAATTTATACATTCATACTAATCAGAAAAATACCATCTGGCCCACGCTTCCCGGTTCTTCAAGAAAGAACAACACATCCTTATTTCCCCCCTTCATCTAACCTACTCCAGCATCCCTCTCCCCTCTTCCTCCTTCCTCTTCTTACCACAATCCCCCCTTCTTCTCCCCGCGGAAGCAAATCCTCGGGAAAATCCACGTGTATACCTCGCGTAACATTTCCCACACACCACATATGCACATCTTTTCCCTTTCCCGTTTTACTTTTTTTTCAGGGGGAGGGAGACTGGCGGAGAAAGCCGCTCGTACACCCCTTGTCTAACCCTAACTAAAACCCTACTTTCCTTTTTAAGTTCTTATTTTGTTTTGGTGAGAAATGTATACAAAAAAAACGCCCTTTCTCTTTCTCTTTAGCTCTGGAAGCAAAAAAAAGAAAGCAACGGGAGCCGCGCGTATGGGTACTTTGTTTCTTTTTCTTGTTTGGCGAAACGGCTGATTTTTTTTTTAAACTTTGGTCGAGAGATGATGTGAAGGTTTGTGAGGGTGTGTACGTGTGTGTGTGAGTGGAGTTTGGGACGGAACGTATATAGTACATACCACATGGCGGCCCCCCGCGGGGAAGAAAAATATTTGTATACAATACACCACCACGTGGCCTGCGGGGAAGAAATGTTGCATAAAGTACACCACCACCACCACCGCCGCCACCATGTAGCCCCGCGGAGAGAGAGAAAAATAGTCATTCGATGGTTGCGTTTTCTCCTCTTTCTGACACAAGGTGTGAGTAACAGTAAGGGGGGAGGGAAACTATGTTTGTAAGTGAACCTTTTCTTCTTCTTCTCTAAACTTTGAATATCCGCAGACATCATCTCTGTTCACGTTCCCGTTCCCCTATTAATCACCAAAACAACAACAACAACAACACTTGTTCAGGCAGAAGAGGGTATCCCACTCATTTGAACACTTGAAATAGTAGATTCATCATCACGCCTATTTTTACCATGCGTGAAAGTTGAAGTCCAGGAAGAACCCAGAAAAAAAAACACCGCGTTACCCCCAGAGACAAAAGGGATTGATGTACAAGTTGACACAGCCCTAGGTCAAGTTGTTTCCCACCCAAGAAAGCAAAACGCCGTGACAATATGCATGGAAATATGACTGTACAAGCCGTGACAAGACAAACCCCACTCCGTTCTGCTTCACACACGCATATACAACCAACCAACCAACTCATACATGAAAGAGAAAAAAAAACACCTAACACTTAGGTAGTACTCCCCCCATGACTCCTCAACTTGCGTCCAGCCGCCAATCCCGGCCCAACGCTATTTCCAAAATTCGTGATATTCTCCCGATCAGTCTTCTCACCCGCAATGCCCACAGTCTTCCTCATCTTCTTCATCGGCAGCTTGCTCACCTCCTCGACACTTGAACGCTTGTTCTTGCTTGTCGGCAGCCCGCTGGCCAGCGAGTCGGAAGAAGATTGGGATGCGAGATGGGGAAGAGGTTGCGTATGAGCTTCCTGCGCCACCACGTTAACATCTAGCTCCCGCAGAGAAGAGGGGTTGCCTCCGCCTGTGGGCAGATGTGATATTGTGTGGGCATGCGCACTGATCAACGGGAACTCGAGCTTGGTGGCAGTAGGGGAGAATATGCTCGTCGGTGAGGCGAGGCTGAGAGAATTTGTGGCGTCGTTGAAGATGGGTTGCTTGGATGGACTGCGAACGTTACTGTCGGATGATGTGGGACGGTTGCGGAGACGAGAAATGATGTTTTCGTGAGCTTCGGTGCGAGGAAGAGTCGAGGGGATGTTGTAGGATACGCGTTGAGGTGTCTCCCCAGTAGGGCTGTACTCGATGAGATTTTGGTTGGCGACAGTTTCACGGAGCTCGTGGAGTGGTGCGCGAATATCCGATTCAGCAGACAGCGATGGCAGTGTCTCCTTCAAACCAGTTGTATGTGCTGACATTTCGGATTCAAGAGACTGAACACGATCAAAAGAAGAAGCCAAGTGTTCTCCTATGCTCGAGTACGAGGCTCCTACTGTTGAAGAGAGTGCAGCGAGCGATGTTGTGTGCGCAGCGTGGTGAGCATTGTTCTGCTCACGGATGCGGGAAACGATGTCGTCCAAAGATTGCAACTGAGTATCCAGATGCGCCATCTGGGCTTCGACCGTTCTGACGGTACTCTCATGAACAGATGTGGTGGTCTCCTTGATCGAGGTAGAATGCTCGGTTGCAGCCTGATCAACATTAGCGTGTGAAGTAAAAAAGGACATGATACACTTACAGCAAAGTCAGACTTGATCTTGGTCTTGACAGTCTCTCTCGATTTTGATACGCCTGCTAGGATGTCTCTTGATTTGTCTGACCACGCGTTGACGCCTTCTGTGTAGGCACCCTGCTTGGCTTCGAACGCAGTGTTGGCAGCAGCAATCTCTCCACGCACAGCAGAGAGTCTTTCTTCTAGCCTCTTTTCCTGAGCGTCTGCATTTGCAGTCATAAGCGCAGTGATTTGTGCCAACAGCTCTTGTCGGTCCTCGGCAGACTTTTGCTTCTCCTCATCTACGAGTTTCGCAAGCTGGCCCTCAGATGCCTTGTGTGCCTCGATCAAAGCCGTATTAGCTTCTACAACCTGCTGGTGTAGTCGTTCATTTTCGGCTTGTTGATCGTTCAAATCCTTGACCAAGTCGTCGAAAGTGGTCTTGAAGTCACGGCCTAGGCTGGCGTAAGATGAGTGGACTTGCGTGTGGAAGGCATCCAATTCTGTGATGATATTCGCTGAAATGGTCTCTGCTGCAGCAGAAAGCTCATCGAGGCCTGCACCAATCTTGGTTTTCACCTCCTCACGCAGTGTCTTGATCTCCTCGAGGACCTCGTTCATGTGATTGCGCGCCTGTGCAGTCTGTCCGTTAACCTCCGCTTCCGAGGTTTGGTACGCTTCCATCTTCTCTTGCAAGAAAGACTGCGAAGCGCCCAGCTTCTCGAGTTCGTCCCGGACAAATGTCTGCATACGCTCCGATATAGCATCCATTAGCTGTTCTTGCTGATGTTGGAACTCCTCGATCCGATCCTCAACTAGGCGAGTGGTGTCTACAACCTGCGTCTGCGAAGAATTCCAATTACGTCGGTTTTGTGACTGGAGCTCTGATTTCCTCCGGATTTTGGACCTCAAGCCATCGATGGCTGATGTTGTCTTGCCCAAAGTTGACATCATGTCTCGTCCCACTTCTGCCAGCTCTTCTTCGGTCTTTTGGTGGGCCTTGCGTAGCTCCGTTTCTTCGTCCAGGTTTTGACGAGTGTGGTTCAAAACAATCTCCGTCTTCTCTAGGATACCTTTTGTGCCATCTAACGCCAGTTGTGTCTGTTCGTTGTCTTTCTTGAGTGTTTGGAACTTGGTTGTCAACTTGAACAGGTCTTCAACCTTTGTGCGGAGATTGACCTCCATGGTTTCAAGCCGCTCGCGCTGTTCCTCACTAAGAATGCGTCTCGACTCGCTCACCGTCGTAATCTCATCGTAGTTTTCTTGGGTGAGGTAAACACCATTTCGTTGCCGTGTTGCTATCAGTTCGCTCTTTAGCTTCTCGATTTCTATGGTGTACTCTTTTAGTAGGGTTTTCTTGTTGATTGGTTGGTTGACCTGTGGTTTATTTCGGATGTTCTTTGCACGGAAGGCATAGTCCAGGGTGGAGATGGTTTCCTCGAGATTGCTCTTAGCTGGTGAAAGGGTTGCAATGATGCAAGTCTTTGTTCGACCACCTAGTGAGTCTTGCAGCAGACGGGTCAGCTTTGACTCTCTGTAGGGGATATGAGAGCTGCGCTCGACCAGCGCGTTGATAACGCGACCCAATGTTAGCAAACTCTTGTTAATCAGACCAGCCTCTGCAGCACGCTTGTTTTCAGCTCCACTACGCTGGATATTTTCACTACCAGCAAGATCGACCAAGTTGAGTTTTCCGGCGCTAAGGTATTCCTGGCCATCTTCTGTTGTTCGCTTGATGTATACGGTAATAGTAAAAACAGTATGACTTCGCGAACTGAGGTCGTTGCATTTTGTCGCCGCGACTTGTCGTTTGTGACTTCCATTGGCCAGGAGTTTGATACCCTCAGACGCAGTCTTTAGATGGCATTCCTCCATACCCTGCACTAAGGTAGTGGTAGAACCCTTCTTGCTGTTATCGTCGTATATTTTGAGTTTTGTGGCATCGTCGGGGGATAGGAGATCGCGCAGCTCTTCGTTGTACAACTCGATGAAAGAGCACTTTACCGAGTTGTCAATCTCATCAGCTTCGAGGCGGTCGAAAAGGGCGTGCAGTACACGCGGTACTATTCCGGCAGCGTCTGGGAGTGGCAGGACGTTGGAGATGTCACCAGTCATGGTGTAGGTCTTGCCAGTGCCGGTTTGACCATAGGCAAAAATTGTGCAGTTGAAGCCGTCAACGACCTATGGTGGTTGTCAGCCGCTGCCGCCATAGACGGCATCGTCTCAAATTACCTCATTCAAAATTGGCGAAACGACCTCGTCGAAGATCATGCTCTGATCGGCTGCGGGAGAAAAGACCTTGTCGAATTGATATGTCTTGTTGCTGGTCGAACTAGGTCCCATGGTTAGGTCTACAGTCGAACCCTTGATTCCGTTTGTCGACACGACGACGCCGCTGTTTTCGCGCACTTCACGGTCGTTGCGCCCTCTGCATCGGACGACAACATTGATGTTGGTCTCTTCTCCATCGACCTCGAAATCCCGGACTTGGCGCTTGAGAGGCGATGATCGCAGTGCCCTTGATGTCGAAGCCACTGATTCTGCTCTTGACGTACGGCCGTCCATAGCGGGTGTTCCTGCGCGGCCACGCGCTAGATGTGGTGGTCGCGTCGTTGGAGGGCGCATTGCTGTTGTGGTACGCTTGGCCTGCGCCCCTGGTCTTGGTAGGCCAGACATGATGACGCTCTGTGTGTGGTGAGCGTACTTGTGCTGGTGGTTAGTATGGCGGGCGTTTGGTGTTGTGTTGAAGCAGTAAAGTAAACAATCGGTAAACACATGTTGCAGGGATCCTGGAGCGTCCAAGCTCAGACCACGCGCCAGGTCTTTTCACGAACCCCTCGCGCTACGTCAATGCAGACTCTCACTTGCATATCTTTGTGTTTATTGCGACAAAGAGGCTGGTACTGGGATTCCATCGCTTCACAAGCCGTTTGATCCGGCACTGCTCTGCTATACTCCACGCCTTTCCGAATCCATGGATTAGGCGTGCTAAAGACGGACCCTGAAGCCCCGCCACCCCTCGTGCATATACTGTACAATAGCTAGACAGCTGCATTTCTAGATACACCGCGCTGTCTTAGTGCCTAGGCCGTCCATCGCCCCGTGTTCGGTGTTGCGTCTCACCAGTGGGCGTGTCGTCTGTCCTCGTGGACAAGGGCACGAGCTCATCCCTATCACCTGTGAGCTAGGTAGCAGCGCATCCGCTAGCAAGCCTACTACACTCTCTTCAAACACCTGTACTCTATACATCTCTACAAGGCCCACCATGGAGGATGGAAATATGCAGTTACAGCCAGGTCGCAGCATAAGCTTCATGAGTCGGTCGCAATAGCCTTTGTGCATTTAACAAGCTGACTCAATCATAGCCCTCGGTTGCTCACTGCACGAAGTACTGACGACCATTAAAGCCGAAGTTAAGACCTTTCCGCGCTTCCAGCTCTACCACGATGACTTCCACCCTATTTCGTCTCCGGTACAAGTCGTCCTACCTGACAACGGTCTGCGCCTACAGTTTGATGGTCCTGATCAGCGACTACGCCTTATCGAAGTGCTCGATTTCGCAAAAGCCCGGCTGGTATATAAGGATATTGAAGTTTACAAGCCTGCGGATGGAGGATTTTCAGCAGGCCCGCCGGGTCCGAGGTTCAGGCATGTCTATGACAAGCTACTAGGACCGACTTATGGCGGAGAGTATGTGCCGCCAAAGTCGGAAGATCCAAACGCAATGGGAACATACAACCTGTCATATCCAGGCATAGCCTTCAATTTCCCTGTTCAACACTCCGCATACTCCCCCAAGAAGGACTTCATTTCGCTTCTGTCATCTTCTGCTACCGGTCCGGCAACGTCCATGGCTGTCTTCAGCGGGGAGTCATGGCAGAAGGCCCGCGCGACTCTGTTCACTGCTCCTCCGTCGAACCCAAGATCACTGATGCTAGGTAAAGCGAAGGATAGCGGACCAGATGAGATTGAAACAGTCAAGGTACATGGTGAAGGCAGGATAGAGCTTGTGAGACGTTCAAGTCCCCCGTTTTGGATTATTCTTAGCGAGACAACACCCCAAGATCTGATTATGGAACTGGGAGCCCCAGATTCAATTTACCGCAAAAATGACCACCGGCTATCTATCCACAAAGATCGGAGAACAAGCGACGCATCAGATCTTTCTCCGGGTGGTCTTACACCTGACGAAGACTCAGATCCGGGTTCAGCTATAAGAAGCGACGATGAGGATGCATGGGAAGACGATGATGATGCAGTTCTGGAAGCCCAAGAGCGAGAAATCGCTGCAGCAGAGCACTTCTACAACTACTATCACCACGGCTTCGATATATTAATCTCACAGCCCACGCAGATTTCCCCACCTTCGCCAACTGCTGAAAGGCGAGAGAGCGATGTACAGGACGCAGGGGAGCTCAGCGCACAACCTCTAAATCATCTCACCGCAACCAAGATAATATTCCATGGAAATATCCCAGGATCATACCAGTTCAACCGACATCGGAGAAGCAGATGGACTCTCGAACACGTCCCCTCAGCCATGTACCGCGAGCCGCTTAATTCTGAAATGGGGTTTGGCGACATATCCGGACGCTTAAAGGAGGTCTTCAAATCGTACTACGAGAATGAGGAGCAAGAGCGACTACAACAGCGTGGTATGGCTCTGAACCGTGGTTGGGGCGATAGTCCAGGGAGCAGCTGCGAACTTCTTGGAGGATGGGAAGACAGTTCAGGGAGAAAGAGCAAATTTGCCAATGCTGGTAGCGTGCTTATGGAGGGTGTCACTGATGTGGGTAATGTGGAGTTATTCGGGTTCCCAGGTATGGTCTTTGAAGTGCTCAAGAACGGGGCTGTGAGCTCTTTGACCGTTTACTGATAATGCACGATTTGAAATGGGTGTTGAAGGGTTAAAGGCGTTCAGGATGCAGGCATTGAATGAATGATAGATGACCATAACAGTTTAGATACCATAAAGATACGTTTATTTTTACCCCATACGAATAGCACATTCATGTAATTGCAAACACACTTCGTACCACAATACAACTTATCACCCCACTATCTCCATCTTATCTCCGAACACCCCAACCCCAAAAAAATATCCAGCGCACCACCCGCCCAACTCCCAGCACCAATTCCCTTCGACCCACAATGCTATTATGCTAACCCCGACGCGTATCCTCCGCGCATCATGGTCCACCACCCTGCGGCTCCCAAAATCGAATTTCCCGCCTAGACCGCTACCTTCTGCGAATCGCGAGTACCTGCGCCGATGCACCGATGAGTTGTATGCCTGGCAGCGGAGCCCCGACCGTATTGTGTACCGAGGACACGCAGACAAACAACAAGATAGCCATTCGCTAGAAAAAGAAAAAGAAGGATCTGCCATACCGAGGTTCACGCTACATGATGGACCGCCGTACGCAAACGGACCGCTGCACATTGGCCATGCACTGAATAAAATTACAAAAGATGTGATTTGTAGATTTGAAGTTGGGCAGGGGAAAGAAGTGTCGTATATCCCTGGCTGGGATTGTCATGGATTGCCTATTGAAATTAAGGCATTACAGGCGCAGAAGAAAGATGCAGCGCAGACGGATGCAGTGAGTGTGCGGGAGGCGGCACGAGAGTTGGCAGCAAAGACGATTGAAGAGCAGAAGAGCGGGTTCAGGGAGTGGGCGGTTATGGGGGAGTGGGAGAATGCGTATCAGACTATGGAGCGGGGGTTTGAGTTGAGGCAGCTCGACGTGTTCAAGGTTATGTTTGAGAAAGGGCTGGTTTATAGGCAGTTTAAGCCTGTGTATTGGAGTCCCAGCTCGCGGACTGCGCTGGCGGAGGCGGAGTTGGAGTATGATGAGGGGTATAAGAGTTTGGCGGCTTTTGTGCGGTACCCTGTGAAGCTCTCGGAAGAACTTAAAGCTGGGGCGCTGAGGGATGTTGAAGATGAAGTCAGCGTGGTTATTTGGACGACTACGCCTTGGACTCTACCGGCAAACAAGGCTATTGCGGTGCACAGAGATATGCAATATTGCATTGTCAAAGATGCAGGCAACAACAACGAACTCATCCTTATCGCTACTTCACGAATACCCGAGTACGAAAAAATCCTCGAGCGCAAGCTGGAAATCGTCGTATCAGAGCTCCGCGGCTCAGACATCGCCGACCAAGTCCAATACGAAAACCCGTTCCAAAAAGCCTCCGGACTACAACCCATCATCCACGCAGACTTTGTTACAGACTCGTCAGGTACAGGTCTCGTGCACCTCGCTCCCGGCCACGGCATGGACGACTACAACGTCTGCACGCCCCTCGGCATCCCAGCATTTGCCCCTGTAGACGACGCCGGCGCCTTCACCAAAGATGCGTTTCCCGAACAGCCAGACTTGCTAGAGGGTTTGCCTGTCACCGACATCAAGAAATCCGGTAGCAACGCCGTGTGCAACTACCTGCAGAAACGCGGGTTGCTCCGTGCAAAGCAGAATTATCGGCACAAGTACCCGATTGATTGGAGGACTAAGGAGCCCGTCATCACGCGAGCTACTGAGCAGTGGTTTGCAAACGTCGAAGGCATCAAGGATGCGTCCATGAAGGCAATTGCCAATGTTAGTTTCAAACCAGAGTCTGGGCGGAGTCGTCTGGAGAGCTTCATTCAAGGTCGGAGTCAATGGTGCATCTCGCGGCAGCGCGCGTGGGGTGTGCCTATACCTGCTTTGTACAAGGTAGAGGGTGATACCCTTGAAGCGACTATGGATTCCAAGGTCATTGAGCATATCATTCAAGTCATCAAAGAGCGTGGCATCAACGCATGGTGGACGGATGCACCAGACGATCCCGCGTGGAAGCCGCCGCACCTCAACGGCACATATGTACGCGGCAGAGACACAATGGACGTATGGTTCGACAGCGGAACAAGCTGGACTCTTCTACCTCCGCAAAAAGACGAACCCGTAGCAGACGTATACCTCGAAGGCACCGATCAGCATCGCGGCTGGTTCCAGTCCTCGCTCCTCACCCACGTCGCCACGCAACCGTACGCAAGCGCCACCGTCAAGGCACCGTACAAAACCCTCATCACCCACGGCTTCACCCTCGACTCGGACGGCCGCAAAATGAGCAAGTCCCTCGGCAACGTCATTTCCCCCTTCCAAATCATGTCGGGCGAACTGCTTCCCCCCGTGAAGCGCAAGAAGCAAAAGGGCGCAAAGCGAGACGCAGCGACTAAACATGCTCCGACGTACGACTCCATGGGCGCCGACGCACTGCGTCTCTGGGCCGCAAGCAGCGACTATACGCGCGACGTAACAATCGGCCAGCCGCTCCTCATGTCGGTGAATCAAGCCCTGCACAAGTACCGCGTCACTTTCAAATGGCTTCTGGGTATCTTCTCCCTCCCCTCGTGTTCCCCACCGTTTGTATCCTTCAACAGCCTCGTCCCCACCACCAGCGAGTTTGCAGAACTAACAGATCGACTCGCGGTACACCGTCTGGTACAGGTAAGCAACGAAGCGCATACTCACTTTGTAAACTACGATTTCTTCAAGGGCATCAACACGCTGAACAAGTACATTGCCATGGACCTGAGCGCTTTCTACTTTGAGACGCTCAAAGATAGAGTGTACACGGGTGATACGGCGGATTGCCAGACGCTCCAGCGCGTTTTGGGCTTGATTTTCTACGAGCTACTGCAGATGCTGGCGCCCGTGTGTCCGTTGCTTGTCGAGGAAGTCTGGGATCATGTCCCTGCTGCCCTAAAAGACAAGAGTATCCATCCTGCGCGCGCAACGTGGGAGCGTCTTGCGCCGCTGCCCGAGTCGGAAGCCAAGAGTTTGGAGCGTATGAGCGGGGTGGTGGGGACGCTTGGTGGTGCGATTAAGGTTGCGCAAGAGAGGGTTCGGGCGGGGAAGAAGATTGGATCGAGTTTGGAATGTGCGGCGACTGTTTACCTGCCTGCTTCTAGCATTGAGGCGTTGAGTGGGACATTTTCAAATGCCATGCATCCACTGGGTCTTCAAGCTGAAGACATGGAGAATCAGTTGGCAGGCTTGTTTGTCATTAGCGAAGTGAGGATACGCGTTCTGTCTGATACTTTGTCTGGGGCCTCTTCAAGTGGGCAGCTCGGCTTTGTGGCGGAAGATGCGGAGCAGATGAAGCGGCAATGGGCGTGGGTGGAAGAGGAAGCTGTGGCGGCAAGTGGAGACCAAGGCAGTGATTTGCTCACAAAAGCACGAGTGCTGGTGCATCCCCCTAGTCGGGAAAAGTGTCCGAGGTGCTGGCGCTTTGTCAAGGAAGAAGCGGAGGATGTGTGTAGCAGGTGTGCGCATGTTGTGGAGAAACAGGGCGGGGTTTAAAGATGCTGTTATTGTGAAATACAGCACGGCTCTTGGGCTTGTATAATATGTGTATATGTATGATGGTGATGAACCAAGAAACCATGTGCTCCTTTCCTTCAGTTGAACACTCAGCCCATTTACGTTTGTAGATATTCTGGTGCTTGTTCCCGTAAACTGACGAGATTTGTCTTTCGAGTTGGGAAATGATGACCACAATAGGTCTTCTAGGCGCGCTCGGCATACGGGATATACCTCGTATGGAGCCCAACAGAAAAGGGTACACGGCCTACTCGCGGTAAGAGTCAGTGGCTTACCCAGAGGTTTTGGATGTGGTAGTTTTATCGAGTCAGCATCCTCAACTCTGTGCCGGGACATGTTCCCCGTCCAACTAGCAAATCGTCCTGCCCCCCCACATGGTACGTGGTCGGGATGGCTTAGAAGCTTTGCTGACCTGCAAACGCGTCACGGTGCTTCGTTATGTGAGAATTTAGGCTCGCAACAGAGATCTCCAGGCCAGTTAGTTGTGTTGAGGGTCGAAGTTGCAGAAAGAGTTGGATACGATAATGGCCGACGCCCAGGTTAGTTGTTTGGCCCCCAGGCAATATTGAGCCACACCCTTGGGGCGGACTTCCAGTGCAGAGGGTTTGGAAGGTAACCCGAACCCAGCTGAGTGTTTACTCATGCTACCCTCCCTGCCAAGGCTGTTTTTCGTTTGAGAGGACCAGTAAGAGGAGCGTGTGAGCGAACGAAGGAAACAGTGTTTGGGGAATGCAAAAGGCTCTAGCGTTGTGCAACATTGGGCTGCGCTGTCGTGTGCTGACTATGGCGAGTTTGTGTATTATAGGCGACTAGCGTAGGACATTGCAATTGTAAACATTGACGCAGGGCCAGGGATAGCTTACACTGGCTGGTGGCTAAGCATTCGGCAGTTGACATCCGTACCTAGGCGGGAGTGGCCAGATTACGCGGATACGAGGCAAAGGTAAATCGCCAAAGCAAGTTTTGATCTGACTCTGGTCTAGAAGCGCGTGTCAGTGAGAGGCTCCGTCGAGATGCGATTGCTCGATTTGGGAAGGATTTGGGCCATTGGTCCAATGCGAGAGCTACTGCGGTGGTATTATCTGGAATAGAAGTAGCCTCATATCCACCTTGGTAGCCACGATTGTGCTATCTGTTCGGTGCTGATTGGCTTGCTGGCAGCCATGGAGTTCCAATTGCATGGTCACAGCAATATGCTAATCAATGTGGAATCCACAGTTGGGCGTCATTTGACATGTGGGCGCGACGAGGAAGAATTGAGCCGATGGGCGGAGGATGCAGATGAGAAGGGATGAAGCATGGTTGCCGGGAGGAGCTTGGCGCGGGGATAGGCTAAATCGTGCATCAGATGGGACGAGAGCCTGGATGGTGGCCGTGAAGCAGTTCATGGCTGTTGCAGGAGCAGGCGTTGACCCCGGATTTCAGCTGACCAAGATGTGCGATCAGCAGCCTTGTCAAGGTCTTATCTCGTCAGCTAGCGATGCGGGCAAGGGTCGGCATGAAGGCGAGGCCAAGTAGGCGGGCAGGGTTGAAGGGGAAGTGGGCGAATTAGGGCGGGGAACGCGGTGTCTGGCTGTCACTGTTCGCCGCTGGCTGCAGAGGGTGGAGTGAGCAGAGTGACCTCACAGCACAGTGTCAGTGTGGTGGGCACGGGCCTAGCGCTGCTTACGTGGAGTGTAGCGAAGCCGAGGCTTCGGCAAGCAGCAGTACACATGCCGATCTGGTGGCTAGACCAGCCGCGCTAGGGTGTGTGTGTGTGGGAGAAGGGCAAGGCTGTCAGAAGAGCATGCCGATGTCTATGTAAGTAGGTTCTACTGGGTAGGAATGTCCATGCTAGGCTGATGCGCATTTGCCGCGCCATAGGCTAAGGACATGCACGTGAAGTAAGCAGGGAGGCAGATTGCAAAAGGCGCGCCATGTGCCGTGTGTCTATTTGAAGAGGGGGACGGGCTGTCGAGCTGGGAAGAGCTGGGAAGTGGGAGATGGAAGCAGCAGTTGGGGCTGGGGGCTCACGATCAGCCGTCGTTGATCAGCAAGCATCTTTCGCCTGCAATAGCGGACCGAACAGGGGGGCTCAACAGTTGGACCCCACAAGCGACAGAGGGCAGCGGAGCGAGTGTTTGCCGTCGCCACTTCCAGAAGCTTTCTCTGGCTGGGATGCTGGCGGGAGATGACGACGGCTGTGTGGCGACAAACGGCGGGGGCGTGTCAGACGAAGCGCACAACTGGAGGGGTGAGGTGGAGGCAGAGGCAGAGACAGAGGCAGAGAAGCTGAGGCAGGCAGGAGTTGAGGCACACGGGTTGCCAGCGCACCTGGAGGAGAGGGTAGGGGGAGAGGAAGGGAGGGTAGGGTAGGGTAGGGCAAGGCAGAACAGGGCAGGACGGGGGCTAGCGGGGGGGAGGTGGCAGGCAGAGGCAGCAGGAGTCGTAGCAGGTAGAGAGCAGCAGGCGCAGGTAAATGTATGCACAGCACTGTGTGCCGCATGGTGGAGGGGAGGATACGAGGCCCACGGACGGTGGACCAGCCGTGGGAAGCGTTTCAGGACAGAGCCCGTCCTGCAGCCAAGCTTGCGCGAGCGGCTCTGGCGCACACACACACACATACAGAGAGACAAGGGACGAGCGCGTGAACCGGCGGCGATGCAGTGCACGGCGACTGGCTGGGCGGGTTGCGTGTTGGGCAGGGCGTCGGGCGATGGGCCTGCGCGGGCTGAGACGCTGGGGGGGATTATTGGAATGGGGGATGGATGGGGAATATTGGACGGGGGCGGACGAGCTCTCTCTCCCTCTTTGGGGCTTGGGAGGGCAGGGCTGGCTTGGACGGGCATGTGCATGGCATGGGCTGGCAATTGCAATGACGCGGCGGAGCATTTGGCGGACCGACAAGCTTCCAGAAGGCTTAGGTGCTTCGACGGCGGTGCTGTTGAAGGCGCGGGTGGGGACTTGCCCACTGCAGACTGGTGCACTGGCGCACTGGCGCACTGGCTCGCCCTGCTCGTTCCGTCTCGAGTAACCCAATCACGGCGCCACGCCTGCATCAATCCTCTCCTCGCTCTGCCCTTGCACCCTCTCCCACGCCCACGCCCATATACCACACTACCACCATCCTCCCGCTACCACCCATGCCGCTCCCACTGCAGCCCCTTCTGCGAGTGCGCTGCATGCGACACTGACGCCCTCCACCACAACCCCCTGCGTCGCCTCTTGCGCCTGCTACAGCCATCTCTCGCTGACACGCCTACGCAGCGCTCTCCCGTCCACACGACCACGTCCCAACTCCTCTGCCCTACTGCCCTACCACCACTAGTCCTGCCACTACTACCACCACCACCCACTATACCACAACCACAACCACAACAACAACACCCCACAGCCACAACCACCACCACCACCCTCGTTTCCACCCGCCCACGACGCTGCCCTTCGTGTCCGCTGCTCGCACGTCTACATACCTACTTTCCGTTCCGTCCTCCTACGCCGACGCGCCTGCTCCACGTCTGCCCTCGCCCTGCCCGCTCCTGCTCCCATAGACGGAGACGAGACCGACTGCCAGGCACCGCCCGAGCCGCCTCCTCCACGCCTTCCTGCCATCGGCGCCGGCCTTCCTCGTTGTCGCATTCGCCATCAGCGCCTTCCTTGTCCTGTTGTAAACAATTACCCAGTCCCCGTGTCGTGTGCGCTCCCTACCGCTCGCGACTCCGCTAGCATCCCTGGGGCCTCCCATCGACGTCGCCGTTTCAGACTGCATCTCGGACCACCGGGCGCATTGCCACCATCTCGTTTGTCCAATCCCCCACACTGCTAGACCTGTTGCATCGTTTGCATCTGTCCTGCGCTCACTGTCTTGCGACCACGACGCTGTCTCTCCCCAACTTTCCCACCTCAACCCACCACCCCCCTCTCCCACCCCATTTTGCGACATCACCATCTCGCCCTCCCCTCTGCGCTGGAGACCAGTGCTGGCTGGTCGCCGCACATAGGCGGAGAAAATGGACCATGGCGCGTGCAACGTAGTCTACATTGACCGGCGGGCCAACGACGAGCATGTGCGCAAAGAGAATCTGTCCAAGTCGCTTGTCGCCCGGACGAGCACTGGAAATGTAGGCCAGAGCTACTTTGCCATGGGCAAGACGTCTCCGCGCGAGGTCCACGACAATGTCGAAGCCATGCTGTCCATCTCCACCGAAGGTACGACGAGCACAATGCGCCCAAACATCGCCATCAACTCCTACTAACAACTTCGTCCAGTACACATCTGCAGCACAGGCCGGGCCTGTCTCCAGAAGATCAACCAACTCATTGATGACACCAAGACCGCCATCCCTACCTTTGTCATAATAGATATTCCCTTTGATGAAGAGCAGCGCATGAAACGCCTATCTCGCGAACCACGCACGCCCTCGCCCACGTCGTCGCGCATGAACCGCATGGACACTGCCGAACCAGACGACATCTACGCCATGCACCTGCTCACTCACATCGCCTCTGAGATTTCGTCCCGCAATTTCTCCAAACTCGTCGTGCCCGTAGTCATGCTGTCGGGAGTGACGCTGGACGAACCATCGACATCTGGCCCGCTCCCTTCGCCCGGTCTCCACATGTCGTTTCCGCTTGGTGATACTGTCCGATTAACGCGTTATCTGGATGCCGGCGCTGTCGACGTGCTGACTAGTCCCATGTCACGAGAACGTATGCTTGGCTTGGCTGTCCACGCCTATCGGCTACAAAAAGAGTTCAACCGGGAAGAAGCAAGTTTTCTGACCACTAAGCGCAATCGGAAGCTGTCTTGGGTCGGCGTCGACGATGCGAAACCGTATGCTTATCTGCGTGAGGCCATGGTCTCGAACCTGATGACTGGCATTTGTAATCCGGAAACCGTGGGAGATTCTCTCGACTCCATGTGCGTATACGTTGCGGCATAAAGGTGTATGGCTAATAATCCTAGGGACTTTCATCTCGACTACGACCGCAAGATACTCGTTGAAAATGCAGTGGGCGTCTGGGCCTTTTCGGCTCATGATTTTACTGACGATGAGCTGCTTTATGGCGCTTTGGTAATGCTCAAGCATGCGCTGCAGATGCCCGAGCTGGAGCGATGGGCAATCACAGAAGGCACGTGCTTTGCATTTCATTGTGCCGCTTTCCTGCTAACCGGTTGCTAGGCGAGATGATTGTCTTCCTCTTGGCCAGTCGTACGGCATATAACGAGTTCGTCAAATACCACAACTTCCGCCATGTTGTCGATGTCCTCCAGGCTCTTTTCCACTTCCTCGTCCGAATAGGCACCCTACCTATGTATCCACCCGACACACGCAACGTATCTGCCCCCAAGTCGCCGATAGCCTCACTTCTCAAGCCGTTTGATGCGCTCACGCTGCTGATTTCTGCCATTGGACACGATGTTGGCCACCCCGGTGTCAATAACGCATTCCTAGTTGCGTTGAATGCACCATTGGCGCAACTTTACAACGACCGCTCCGTCCTGGAATCATTCCATTGCGCCGCGTATTCCCAAATTCTACGGCGATACTGGCCAAGTGCATTCTCCGACACCGCAATGCGCAAGCTGATGATCAACAACATTCTTGCAACGGATATGGGTCTCCATTTCAAGTACATGAGCGATTTGGGCAACCTGCAACAAAAAGTTGCTCACGACCAAGGAGCTGTGGACGGTTGGAGTGCCAAGGTTCAAGAAGAGCAAAAAGATCTGACTTGTGGTTTGCTCATAAAATGTGCCGATATTTGTAATGTGGTGAGTTTGCTTTTCTAGACCGCATGCTGTAATCCATCCTAATCTACGTTCTATAGGCGCGAAAATTCCCAACCGCTGCGAAATGGGCCAACATCCTCACAGACGAATTCAGCAATCAAGGACTCATGGAAGCCGAACTCGAGATGCCTTCATGTCTTTTCGGAGGGCCGCCGGTGCGCGAAGACATCGTTAAGCTCGCGGAGTCGCAAATCGGATTCATGAATATATTTGCCAGGCCACTATTCGAAGCCGTCACGGACATTCTACCCGCCATGCAATTTGTGGTAGACGAGATTTTGACCAACAAGGCTATCTGGGAAAATAGAATAGACGAGGAGCGGCGAAAGAAGAGGAAGAACAAGAATATGAACCTTGGTCTACTGACATCAGGGTTTTCTGTCGATCCAACCCCGAGCCCACTTTCAGGAGGACCCAACAGGTCGCCGTTGAAGATACCCCTGAGCGCAATCAAGACCATTTCTCCTGAAGAAGCGGCTCGCCGAGGATCGACTGGCTCAATACAAGCTGTAGCTGCGGCATCCGACTCAAGAAGATCATCCATCATCGATAGGAGCTCACGGCGGTCGTCTACTACACCAGTACCAGGTCAAAGGCCCATGGGCTCTAGCGAAAACGTGACCTCGTCCCGAAGGGGCAGTCGGGACCCAAGTCTTACGGCAATTTTGGTCACCCAGACGCCAAATGCATCCGATCAAGCTACAAAGGGACAGGGCACAGGTCCCGATGATCGCTCAAGAGCGGATCGCAAGGACACATTGACAAGACCTTCTTCAATGATCAAGGATAGAGATAGTCCCCGACCTGTCACTGCTCCATCGCATGCCAGGCGCAGTCAAGGTGAGTTTGAAAGTTGATTTCAATTCTTCAAAACCGTGGAAAACTAACATTGCAAAGCTCTCGATCCTTATCCAATCAAACAACCATCGCCTCAAAGCCACTCCCAGGTTGATCTGTCTCATAGTGAGAATGGAAACCTTGATGGCTCAAAACTCCAACCCTGGGACACTAACAATAAGCTGAGCGCAGATAGCAACGCAGCCCGGTCCGACGTCTCGCGCGACTCAAGCTGGTGGCGACAAATGGGTTCACGACGACGTACTCGCGATGGGAGGAATGGCGAAATGGAAGCACGAACTCATGTCAAGGAATCTACACCAGAGTCTCTGGCCCCTCCAAACGCCGATTCGCCCACCGTGTCGCCCACCTGTTCGAGCCCCGGTAGGAAAACTACAACAACCGGCAAGATCATGAGCTTTTTCAAGCGAAAGCCAAATAGTCAAAAGGAGCAGCCAGAGAAGCAGTTGTCTAGTTTTGGCAGTTCTTCACAGTTGCGAACCCCACAGACCAGCGACCCAGGCCGATCACTCAACAGCGATGATTGATTTCAGCATTCCTTTTCTACGCCTCTATTGACCTTATATTAATGACAAACGCCGCATCCGAACCACGGTATTTCCTTTAGTCTCAACATACCATTTCAAAAAGCAGTTCTTGGTCTCTGCAGCACTTGCTTTCGGGTTTTCTTCATCTCTGGCAATTGCGGGCTATGATACCTCTTACACGCGATACGGCAAGTACCAGCAATAAGCATGGATAACACCACTTGTTTCTGGCCTTCCCTTGGTCTACCTTCGGGTGTTTTCTGGTGGATCATCGTCCACGTTCTGATTCGGCGCGCGCATTTCTGGCACAGCATCTTTCAAGCTTGTCTTTCCCGCACCTTCATTCGTCTCGTTTCACTTTGTATGCTCCTTTGTCAATTATCTTTCATCTTCGTATGCAGCGCTTTAGCTGTGCAGCATGCATTATTCGAGGCAGCAGCCATTTGTTTTTTCCTTTCCTTTCTTTTTTCCAAGCCTCCATATTGAGGGAGGGCTAGTCGTGTTGTTCTATCGGCGGCAAGAAAAGGTCGCATATGTTTACGCGGCTTCCTTGTTTTTACGAGTAGAAGATATCAGGCATGGGTCAGCATTGGGGCTGACAAAAGAACGATGTTGTTGCAGCAGTCGGAATGGTAGAACTGGGACGGGGGCACCCGAATCGGCTCCTTCCTTACCTCCTCTGGGAGAAGGTGCTATGTCTACTATCCTAAGCTCATTAGTATCGCTCAGCGAAATGACGATAAACTCTCTGTAATGAAATGTATATTCTCAATGTCTCAACTCATACACTTGTACACACGCACACTACGTGGCTGGTTGTCTGTGACAAAAGGACAAATGAGCCTTGCAGCATTTCATGCAAATTAAACGAATACGATTTCTCGTGTTCGCATCTCGCATACGACAACGCATCGGCGGACACCGATGATGTCCTTTATCGTGGTCACGAGCTACCGTCACAAAAGTGGTCCTTGTAAGTCTTAGCTACCTATTTCAGGCTTAGCGCATCTAGCCCATAGTCCGGCGCTAAACCCCACTTGCTACCTTTAACAACACCACCACCCCTCAACTCCCAGCTTTCGCATTGACCGCTCATCCTTTTCTCTCTCATAAACTTTTCCATCACAAAAAAACCATGGATGACAAAGTAAAGTATCTCCTCTCGCTCAGTGCAGTGCGGGACCGTTCAAAGATTGTGGGAGAGGCAGCTGCAGCTGGCAAGCTGAGTCATTTTGATGTACACGAGGAGCGATTGGGCGACGCTGCTGATTATGTGACATCTGTCATCAAGGTGTGTCTTTTTGAATATTAGGAAATCGTGATTTCTTGTACGTACTGTGAACTTTTTTTTGGAGGGCTGATATGTTATATTATATATCTAAAAGCGCGATTATGGTCCAGACAAGTTCCATACTATTCCCCCGCACGGCCGATGGCAGCATTTTGAAGTCGGCAACGTTCCCCGCATATCCACGCTTCTTGAGGAATGGAAAAAGGAGGGATCCGACGATTTGGAGGTTACACGCCGACTGATCGATTTGTTTTTTGTTTCGGTGTTGTTGGATGCTGGAGCGGGTGACCACTGGCGATATGTGGAGCCAGGGACGGAGCGCGAGTATGAACGCAGTGAGGGGATTGCAGTTGCCAGTCTGTACATGTTCAAGAGCTTGAGTTTTGCGGCTGCCAAAAATGAGAAGCAGCCCATTGTGGATGGTAAGTTTCAGGTTGTACACTGGGCTAGTCATTATGAAATGACTGACTGTTTTGTGTACAGGAAGAGGTCTCCAAGACTTGAAGACAGAAGAACTTGCAAGTGGCTTCCAGATTACAGACAAGAATCCAATGCTGGGTGTCGAATCTCGTGCCAATCTCCTTCGAAGCCTTGGGAAGTCACTCTTATCCCACCCTGAGGTCTTTGGCCAAGAAGGTCGCCCCGGAAATGTTGTCGGTACGTGTTGTTCTTTGCTTACTACATTCCCTGATATACTCACCAACCACAATACAGATTTCATGAAGAAGAACTCTTCCGACTCTTCAACCTTGGACGTACTCGTATTCTGGGACATTCTCCAGCAGCTTCTCATTCCCATCTGGCCACAAGACCGTACAAATGTCAGCGGTCAACCCCTTGGCGACGCGTGGCCCCTGTCAACACTCAAGACCCAATCATCTTCCTCAAGTGCTGATGAAACCGAGTTCATTCAGCCGTTCCACAAACTAACACAGTGGCTTGCTTACTCCCTTATGGTGCCATTCACACGTATTCTCTCACTACAGTGGAAGAACGCGTCTTCGCTTACTGCCCTACCCGAGTACCGCAATGGCGGTCTATTCGTCGATCTCGGAGTCTTGACACTTAAGCCTGCTTCCCTCGAGCGCGGCATCAAGGCTTCCTCCGATGGCACTGGACTCCCAGCTTTCAGCGCAGGTGACGATGTCATCGTCGAGTGGCGTGCCATGACTCTGGTCTTGGTCGATAAGCTGTACAAGCTAGTCCTGCAGCGTATGGAGGGAGTGGATCTCAGTATGGCGCAGTTGCTGGAAGCCGGCACGTGGAAGTCTGGTAGGGAAGTTGCCAAGGAAAAGAGGCCTACGACAAAGAGTAGCCCAATCATCATCCTAAGTGATGGTACTGTGTTCTAAGAAAGTGTGAGGCTTCAACGAATAGAGAAAAAAACAAACTTTGCAAGTTCTTGAATTATGGAAAATTCCCAACTACCAAAGTGCCCTCCCCCAACTGGAAATAAGTTTATTCCTCACTTTAACCAGCTTCTTCTTCTCCTTCTCCTTCTCCTTCTCCTTCTCCTTCTCCTTCTTCTTCTCCTTCTCTCCCGTTTTCCAAGGCCAAAAAAAGTGCCCTGAAGATTTACAGATTACGAAGAGACCCTCGTTCAAGCTCCCACACACACAGAGAAAAATATCCTACATACACACTTGTAAAAAAAAAACAAGAAAATCTGAACGTGAGCAAAAAAAGAAGAAAAAGAAAAAAGATTTCACGCATCGCTACTCTCAACTCCGCCTTTCCGCCCTCTGCGCATCCATGTCCCCCCCCCTCCTCTCCGCCATATCATCTAGAATCTCAATAAACCCAAGTCCCTGCGGTGCACGCCCTCTACTCGTCCTCTGCTCTCCCAGCACCTCCCCATCCGCCTCTGCTCTCCCACCAGGCGCCTCAACCTCGCCTTCCCTCATCTCCCTCCAAACCGGCATAACCCTTGGCTCCCCCCTTGGCTCCCCAATCGCAACCCCAATCTCAGTCTCCTCATGCGGATGTTCAAACTGCGTCGCCAGATCCACCTTTTCTTTATTATCATCCCAGCTCCACTTCCTACTCGCGGGACTAACAACGGCGGTGCTGCCGCTTAGCTCGGGGCTCGCGGGGTCGCCCGAGTCGAGCTCGTTGCGGGGTTCGTCGCCGGAGAGCTCAGAGGGCCCGCGGGCGTGGCTGTACATGCTTTTGTGGGTGCGGAATTGGGCGGGGGTTTGGGGGGTGGCTGGGGTGGAGAGGGGGAGTTCTTGTGGGGTGTTGTAGGTGTGGGGTACGACTGTGGAAGGGTCGTAGTTGTGTTGGTAGGTGTGTGTGGTGGGGTTGTTGTAGAAGCCGTTTGGGTGGTTAGGGTTGGGCGAGGTGTAGGAGGGGGGTGCTGTTGTGGGTTGTTGTTAGTAATTCAATTGTATATATTTCTGGCTAAGCTGGAGTCTTTGTTGTCAAAACTTACATTCGGAAATCTGGTTATGGTGGTGCTTGTTGTGGAACTCGCTCATGCCGTTGACGGCGTCTCCGTTTGCGTCTCCGTAGTGCTCGGCGGCTTTTGCCTTTTCCTTCTTCTTCCTTCGTAGACATAGCCACCATACGATGATGCCGATTATAGCAGCTATAGCGAATGCGCCGCCTGCTGCGCCGCCTGCTATGGCTCCTACTGGTACGCCGTCATCCGATTTCTTTGCTGCAGCAGATGGACCTGAGGTGCTAGTAGTAGTCGCAGATCCGGTAGCATGATATGCACTGAGCAGGTCATTCCGATTCAAGATTGCGGGTTCAAGATCACCGTCGGGACAGCCAGATTGGGCACATGGATTTGTTTTGCAGCAGCCCCAGAATGTTTCTAATGCAAGTCAGTCATCGCCTGTAGCGCGCGGGAAAGAAGACCGATACCAAGATCGGTTGATCATCTCAAGTACTTACGTCCGGCAGAGCAAGTATAAAACTTGCTTCCAGTTCCACATGTAGCATCGGGAAATGTGCCATATGCTTTTGGATCGAAAGCACCTGGGTAAAGGTTGCCTTGGGCGCATGTGATGTCGCATGGGTCTCTTGCGCAGCAGCCGACAAAGTATCTACAATGATATTAGACACCAGAGATGATGGGAGCAGAGATGAAATATTAACAATCCACTTACGTTCCATATCCACAGGCCCACCAGGTTCCTCCCGAAGGACATGAAGGCGAGAAGGCCTGTCGCGCAGCAAGGTAGGCCGACATATTACACTAATAACCGACTCCGCGGTCGCAACTTGAGTAGTATCGGCTACCACTACTAGTTGGACTCAAGACCTCCACTCACAATCACGTCAATAGCAAACAAACAATACCGTCCCTCAAAAAAAGAGAGCGAACAGAAAAACAGGTACCAATTAGACAGAGAAAGAAAGAAAGTCAGATGCAAGGAGACGGCAAGAAAGTATGGCTGGCCGGGTCTCACAACCGAGCGCAAAAATCAGGCGACCAAAACCCGCCCAGGTAAATATCTCAGCCAGCGCGGAAGGAAGCTGGGTAAAGAAAAAACGGAAGGAATCACGTCAAGAAAAAAAACACGAGAGAGCTGATCGAGACACCCCTCCCACCTCCAAGAAAGGCCATAATAGCCGCAGCGAAACAAAGCCGCAGCAACTATGCAAAAGTGGGCGGGCTCAGCCTGTGTGCCCAGCTTTTCTACTTATCTACGCTTTCCTCTTCTTCCTTCGCCTGCTTCCAGCAAAGACTCTCCAAAACGGAAAACTAAAAACGCTGCGGTGTCGCCGCACCAGTAGCCACACTCTAACATACAATACATACTAACAAAGAAGACAAAACGGCGGTATGATTACCTTGCAACCGGATACGAGCGACCAGCTCGGGCTGTGTGTGTGTGGGGGGTGGGGATCTTGCAACCAGCTCAACACACATACCACATTGCACAGGAGCAAGCAAGCAAGCATGCGTGTGCGTGTATACGTAGCTGTTGAGTATGCGTCCACACGAACCCCAGCACCCAGCACCCAGCACCCCCGGCTTCGCCCACGGCACACCGCAGGAACAAAAGGTCCAAAGACGAGAGACAGACACAGAGACCGACAGAGACAAGAGACAGAAGAGAAAGAGACCAACCTAGGCATAATTGGCGTGCAGGATAACCTCAGCACTAACGGCGAAGGATGCAGCTCCTCATTCGTGCGATGGTGATGCCGACGACTACTATCTGTTTTTTTTTGGGGGCTGAAATGGGCGTCGAGCTATCTTGTGTGCATGGCCCCCCTCCCCCCCCCCCGCGCGCGCGGGGGAAATAAAGTGGAGAAAGAGAAAGGGAGTGGGAAACGTGGATTACATTGCAGAATGGAAGGTAAGTATGTATTAGTTAGTAAGTGGAAGTAAAGTAAAGAGTGATCGTGAGGGCTGCTTGAGCTCTCGAAAGCTCTTTCTCAGACGGGTTGGTGTGATTGGAATGCAAAGGCATACCCCGCATTGGGTGTTAGTGCTGCGATCGGTGGCGGAGCAGTCAGGTGGCACAATTACGTAGAGAAGCTGACGGGCGGCGTCTATTCCTGGCGGGTTTTGAGGCAAGGTGAGAGGTGGGAGTCGGAGGTTACATCACTTGTTTCGTTGCCGCCGACGAGGCAGCCTCGTCTTACTATTTACCAAGACTTCTTTTTCGGCAGCCGGCTATATTCTGGATTGTGTTAGGCTGAGAGGAGTGCAGTGATAAAGTACATATGCATATGTAATGAATCTTTCTTGGATTCTTGGGATTACTATTTCTGTTTGTTTTGGGACCGGGTATATATACAGGTAGATGGAAGCTAAGTAAGGGTATGCGAGGATGAAAAACCGCCCAAATGCGAATAAAATAATGCAAAGAAATGTTAATACACCGAATCCCAGCGAAATCATCCCTTACGATCACTCTTTTCATGGTTGACCAGTCGAGACACCAAGCCCTTGACGGCTAGCTCGTTTCGCCATGTCGCCGGAGAATTCTTGTTGTGTAGCCAGTGGAGAAACGAATGGAGTCGCGTATGGTGACTCGAGTTCTGAAGGGCCAGGGCGGGCAGCATCTGCGGGAAGTTCTGAGAATCGTCGGTTGTCCATGACATTTGAAGAGCCGGCTGGAAGTTCAGAGAATCTGTTATGGGACGAGGAAGAATCCGCAGGAAGCTCTTGTGGCTCGGCTGCGTGGCTGGCGTACTGGTGATACGACTCATGTCCCTTGCCGGGTGAAGTGGCCTGGTAAGAATTCTGGATTGGAGCCGAGTATGTAGGAGGTGCTGCTCTCAAAGTTAGCTGGTGAAACAGGGCAAGCAAGTGAGTCGACATACGTGATTGAGCTCCGTAATGCCCTGCGGCAGCACTGTTGTCGTTCTTCTCATTATTGTTCATCATGGGCATCATGGTGGCAGCACCCATGTCGCCTTCTGTTGTCTTCTTGTTCTTCCTTTTACGGAGCACAATGAAGATGATGATTCCGATAATGGCCAAGACTACCACTCCTCCAACAACGCCACCAACAATAGCGCCCGTGTTACTCTTGCCTGAACCCGAAGGATTCTCTTTCTTGTCCTGTGATACGTATGCGTTGAATTGCTCTGGTCGCTCCATGAATGCAGGTACCAAGTCTCCTTGCGCACATGTTGCTGGTGGGGTTGCAGCGCAGGGATTCGACTTGCAGCATCCCCAGAAACTGTTGCCTCCAGTACATGTGAAGAAGTCGCTAGCACTTCCGCAAGACGCATCAGGAAATCCGCCATAGTGGGAGATATTGAAGCCAGCAGGTCGGATATTTCCTTGCACGCAACCATTCGAGCATGGGTCCGACGAGCAGCATCCTACGAAATTACTACCACTGGCACAGGCATACCTGGAATTTGTCAGTGTCAAAGTTTCCATCAAAGTTGAGCTCAGTTATTACCATTTGCCGCCGAGTGGGCAGTGAAAGTCGAAAAAGGACGAATTAGACATGATAGGCGCACAAAGTATGATACCGAATGTGCCTTTGGTATGCGCTGACTGCGCTTGTGTTTATTGATGTGTACTAAGTGGAAACAAAGAGAAAAAAATTACGGCCAAAGCGACAGCAGGTACAACAGGAAGATGGCCGGTGTGATATAGAATAGGATGAAGCAGGTAATTCAAAGAGGAACAGCACACGGAAGATGTGGGCCCCCTCAAGTATCCAGGCATGCATAGTGAACGCCTGAACGGGGCGTACTTTGGTCTGCACGGCCTTGGAAAGGCGCCGATTGCGCCACGCACCAGCCGAAGCCCGCGCATGACCTAATGTAGGCTAAATGTCTCTTTTCTCCATGGTGGCTGGTAGGGACTGTGATATTTTGGTATCTTGTGAGAAGCTTGGCCGCATAGTTGATGCTGAAAGCTGAGAGAAAGCTGCCGAAGGAGCAACATCCCTGGTAACCGACCCGTACCTCGAGGCAATAGATGATCTGGGCAACTGAGCCTCAGCACAGCCCTTTTTTCCCTATTTCAGAGACAACACCACAGATGGACAAGGGAAAGTCTAGGCGATGCCCCAGTTTACCGTACGCCTGGGGCGCCTGCTTAGAAAAAAGGTCCACTAAACAATAGCTTATTGTCTTTCCTCCTTCTTTTTGCTATACATGTATTGACACTTGTCTCGGCACCAGCCAGGCGAAGATATGCAGTGTTGGGGGCTAATGGATGGGTGGGGACGACATGTCATTTAGTGGCGTTCTTAATCGAAATGACAACGAAGATACTTACCTCTTGGGCGGAAGGGGGCCGTTTCTCAACAGCCATACGGGCTATACCCACAACCGCCCCGCCCTATGTCAGCACGAACCAATGTTACCCCGAGGGGGTTTTGGGAAATAAGGCTGAATGCATTAGGAGAATCGCCACTCGGAGAGGAATTTCGGTGACGAGCGTCGGAGAGGAGAGATGGGACAGCTACTACCCTCGCCGATGTAGCGGTCAATTTGGGCTGTGTGTTCAGCCGCAGTGAGCTCTTGGCAGGTCGTGATGCGCAGCTAGAGTGTCTAGACAATCCACAGCTGAGGCGGTAAGGCGCCGGTATTCTTTCGAAGCCCGCATTTGGGCGGAATCACAAGACTATTGAAATCTCGGGCCATGCCGTTGTGGGTTTGGACTTACTTGAATGCACAGAAGTCACAGATGGCTGGCCTTGTGAAGCCTCTTAAACCCATCTGTGCTGAAATAGTGCGCTTTGCTCCCTTAGCAGCTCCCACCGTCATGACAGAGCGACGCGCCCAAAACACAGCCCACGACGAAGACATATTTGGGCAAACAACAGACTGACTGGATCCGACTTTCTGGCGATGCGATCGACATTGACCACGCAGGCACCCGGCCGCGCACCCAACGGCGAACAGTAATCCAAATCTGTCTGGAAGGATCGCACTTTTCGAGTCGCTCTGCATGGACAATCTCTTGTCTGTTTCAAGGCGGCCATGTAAACAAAGCCACCTGTGCGCTTTGCGTGCGGGTTACCTGTAATGGTCAAAAATGCAGCTGCTCTGGCAACCCGCTGCCACGCTGTGATGACGGAATTGTTGAACTAAAGGGCCGGGGTGCGCTGAACTCTCTCTGCACTGACGGTAGAGTACATGTAGATGGACCGCGACGAAAGGATGAGCGTACCTGTCTCCAGGCAGGTAGGAGATCACGAGACAGGCGCACGTTTGTCGACCATGGCGGCGAGTTCCCAACCACTGGAACGGATGCAAAAGAAAAGAGGAACAGGAGATGACAAGGCTGCTGGTGAAGATGGAGGCGCGGGCAAGGAAGCTTGGACGCGTCAGGGCAGTGGCTAGCGCATCACCGCCGCGGGGAAGGGCACGATTGACAACACAGCAGACATACCGCAACCTCAGTCAGGGCTGCGAATAACAAGCTGTAGATAAAAGGAACTTGTTTCTTTGCTCGCTTGCTCCCACATAGTTTTGCATTTGCGCCGTACCAAGAATATTGGTGACGGCGGTGATGAGACAACCCTGCCCAACCTCCCCAGCCCCCCGCCACACATCCGGATCCCGATAGTTGCACCCAGCCATCTCGAGTAGAAAACTTGTCGCCGCCCAGCTGCTGCATGCGCTCACAATGCAAACATTCCTTCGTGACTCCACTTGACTAATCCACCCAAGAAGACATGAGTGGGGAGCCTGGATTCCAACTCAAGCAGACAAACGGTATGCATGCGGCTTGATCCCGCCTCACGACTACTCACCACCCACCCATTTACTCATCCTATTGCCAGTTTCTCAGCCCCAATTGTCCCACCAAAACTCGCAACAGAGCGTTGCCGCTTCACTGACTGCCTCCGAAGGCTACTACAGCGCGTCCGAGCACGCGTCCAGCTCAAGTGAAGAGAGGAGGCCTGTCTACCAAACACCGCCCTCATACCGCCAAACACCAGCGCAAAGTCATGAGCAATTGATCCCTCACACCAACATCCCCACAACATCACTACGAGGTGTTGGTATCCCCAGGCAACAGCTCCAGCCTCCGCAGCCTTCCTTCGTTCACGAACGCCCTCAGTCACCCGCAGTATCCACCATTGCCGAGGAGTCGAGGCCAGGAACCCAAAACGCACGCCGATCCCAGTTGATCCACGACATGGAGACCGAATCGCAGGCGACTACTCCAGGCCATGACACCACACCATATATTCGCTTCGCCATCGACCAGCTCACCCGAGATGAAGATGTCCGAGGCTCAAGAATATATCCAGAGGTCCGACCCCCAGTCGCAGTCCAGGATGATGATGACGACGATTACCCCGTCGAGAGAATCATTCCCGACAATGGGCTGGGATATATGGCACTGGAGCAACAGACACAGGAGAGAATGCAACAGCACAAGCCCGCACGCAAGTCGTTGAGACATTCATATACACCACTGGCCACTGCCCCGGCACCCATGGCTACGCAACCAGATGGACCCCACCACAAATCCCACAAGTACAGAGAACAGCAGTCGCCTTCTCCTACTCGGGGACAAAAGGATGTCTTTGTAGCACACTCGCAGCCACACTCATCCCTTCACTTTTTACCCGCCGTCCTTCGCCCGCTGTCGCTTGGCCTGTTCATTTTCCTATGCTTGCTCATGCTCGGTGCGCTCATCTTCGCCGCTGTCTACTCCAATCGCGATGAAGCCTACGGACTGTGGGACTACGGTGGTTTTGGCGATACTCGCTACTTCGTTTTCCGATATCTCCCAACCTTGCTAGGCATGCTCTTGTTCCTCTGGCTCATCCAGATCCAGGCAGCCCTTCAACGCATTGTTCCGTTCATATCCATGTCTTCAGACTCTTTCCACCGGAGATCCGAAGCCGTGTTTCTTCGACTATACCCGATGCAGTTCGTTTTGCCAAATATTCAGCATTTCCGCGCTGGACATCCCGGTATCTGTGCCTTTTTTGTCATTTCATGGCTTTTTGCATGGACAGTCCCTCTTCTTGCTTCCAGTTTCAACGTACGGTATAATGTGGTACGCTCCGCTTGGAGATGGGTCGCTGTACAAGGCGTCATCTGGACAGTCGTTGTTCTCTACATCCTTCTGGTGCTCGTCCTGATCTATCTCATGGTCTTCCTCATGCGCAGCCCGACTGGATTGAAATGGGACCCGCGATCGCTCGCAGACATCATCGCTCTTCTGGAGCGCTCAAACAACCTTGGAGATTACAACAACTCGGAGACTTTCGATAAGGGCGACTGGAACAATGTTGCTAACCGTGCTGACCGCCTGGGCTACTGGACTACTACGAAGCGACCAAGCGACGTTTTCTACGGTATTGGAGAGGAAGGTGCTGAGATCCGGAGATTCCAGGTCGAGGAGGGACGCATCAGAGAGCAAGGACCAGACCGCGCAAATCTTGACGTAGCTCAGGGCAACGACTTTTCGATCCGCATGGACATTCGCAGCCCGAATGTGCGACTTCGCTATTTGCCCTGGTGGCTGAAGGACGGTTCAGTTATTGCCTGGATTGTCATCGCCTGTATCCTTTTGATCGCCTTCTACGTCGTCAGCTTTGTGAACGACGCTGTTCGCCTCGGTTTCCTACCTCGAGTCTTTGCTCGTACAGGCACTGACGGTTTCTCCGCCTCGAACTTCCTGTACTCGTTCGTCCCAGCAGTCATCGGCCAGTTCCTATTCCTAGCACTCTTGTCGCTCGACTACTCTATCCGCGTACTCCAGCCATACATGGCGCTCGCATCCAAAGGCGGAGCCACTGCTGAAACTTCTCTGTTGGTCGATTACGCTTGCCGCCTGCCATTCTCAGTAACACTGGCTGCGCTCGAGAACAAGCATTTCCAAACGGCAGTTCTATCCTTCGTCTCATTCGCATCCATGTCCCTGCCTATCCTCGCAGGAGGCTGCTTCTGGACCCAGTACTACGGCGACGTACGAAACGTCCGTGTCGCCGCCGAACTCCCCGGTTACTACGCCCTCTGCTTCTTCCTCGCCCTCTACACCATCAGTCTCTTCGCCCTCATCCCGGGTCGCCGCCGAGCCGCACTCCCCCACCGCAGCAACACCCTCTGCGAAATCATCAGCTGGGTCTACCAATCCCCCATCCTCACCGACCGCGCCTTCGCCCACCCCCAAACTAAACCCGACCTCGTCGCTCGCCTCATGGGAACCACCTACGCCGAGCGCACCTGGGCCCGCTCCGTCGCTTCTCTCGTCCGCCCCTCCCGCAGCAACCTCCGACCCGACTCACCCACGGACCCCGCGCTGAAAGAGAAGGCGAGAAAAGACGGTCAGCACGACTCTCTTGTCAACCCCGGCAAGATCAGATACGGCTTCGGTATCCACGTCGGCCGCGACGGCCTCGAACACCTCGGTATTGATCGCGTGCGCCGCGGTGGTGACCGAAGTGGCCGCGAACTCGTTATCTGGGAGGAGCAGCAGCATGATCATAAGAGGAAGAGTTGGACCAGTCAGGTGTGATAGCACCGCTGTCTTTTGCCCCTACTTTTTTTTACGAAACCAGCTTCATCTCCACGGCGCACAAAAGCGGCTGTTATGATGATGGAACTGCTCATTTACAGAAAACTTTTTTTTGACGGATTTTAGCATCGGTGTTTTGGGTGTTTTCTTTATGCATGCATCGTAGCCTTGGAATCTTCTCCCTTTTTTTTTCCCTCACGGATTCAATGGCTCGGGATCGGCGTTTTTTTTTTAAAAAAAACTCAGTCAACGCTGTTTGGAACTGCCAATTGCGAATGTAACTGTACGAATCTTCTTTTTTCTTTTTAATGAATGCAACGCGTAGGGAATGGAAAATACGAGACGTTTTTATAGATGGAAAGGAAGGGAAGGGATGGGAGGAGTCAAAGTTCGAAATGTGTGGTGTACATGGGATGAGGCGTCATTGCCTGATATATGATAGAACATGCATGTGAATGAGGGTATGAGATGGAAATGAAAGATCATTGCTGATTTAACTTGTTTCGCCTTGAACATATTATGACTTTGTGTACTTATTCAAGTATTCTTGATATGCATAGAAAATAGGTGATACTGCATTGCATGTTTTATTTCTTCATTATCAAGTCTACGCTACAGCAACAGGAGCAGCACTAGCATCGACCCCCGTAAGCCTACTAATCTCCAACTCGCCATCACCCCCCAAATTATCCAATCCATGGAACCCCTCCTCGACTACCCATCGCTGCTCATACTTCATAAGCACTTTGCAAGCGTTACCCACAACAAGGAGTCCAGGGGGTCTACTTCCCTCCTCCTCGACAGCCGCACAAACATGCTCGAGCGTCGTACGTATGACCCTTTGATCCGGACACGAAGCGCGTTCGAGCACAGCGACGGGGAGGTCTGCAGGATACGCTTTTGCGACTAAGCTGTCAACGAGAGCAGAGAGGCGGTGCAGAGACATGAGCAGGACGAGTGTGCGGGAAGCGACGAATTCGGGGGGATCGAGCGGAGCGCCTTTCCTGCCCGTACCGGTGCAGATGAGGACTTGATCTGCGATGCCGCGGTGCGTGGCGGGTATGGCGGCGAAAAGGGGTGCGCTGAGTGCACTTGTGATGCCTGGGAGTACGCTGGGAATGAAGCCGTGTGCGCGGAAGAAGTCGTATTCTTCTCCTCCGCGACCGTAGATGTATGGATCACCTTGCTTTATTCGTACGACCACTTTGCCAGCTTTCAGTCCTTCCAATCCCATTTCTAGGAGTTCTTCTTGCGCTTTGTCTGCATTGCCGGGGAACTTTCGTGCAATGTGCACGGTTGCGCGGCGGGGTACGAGATCGAGGATGGGTGCGGGGACGAGTTTGTCGGCAAGGATGAGGTCAGCAGAGAGGATGGCTTTGTGGGCGGCGCGAGTCAGGAGATCTGGGTTTCCGGGACCGGAGCCTGCGAGAATGATGCGGCCTACTCGCTGTGGTGCAGTGGCTGTGGGTCCGACTTTGGAGGGGCTGCTGCTGGCGAATTCGCGGAAGAGCATATTTACATCTGCATCGGTGATGCTTGCAAGGCGACGCAGCGGCCAGTACTCGCATATCTGCGTGAGCCAGCGCATACGGCGACCCCGCGCTGCTTCCTTGCTCTCTTCCAGAATCAACTTGTTAAACGTCGCCGGTTGTCCACTGTCCTCCTCTTCTGCCTCCAAATCCTGTGAGAGTTCGGCTGCATGGTCTTCTTCCCATATGCGTCTTCGCAGTGTACCCAGTTTCTCGACCGCATCGCCTAAACGTGGTGGAAGAGATGCAGCGATCTCTCTTCGGATTCTTGCAGAAAGTTTGCAGCCTTTTCCAGAAGTAGTGATACCAATCTGAAGAGGGCCGTCGGTATGTGTGGAGAGGAGTGTGAAGGAGCAGAGATTCGGGGCATCGGTGACGTTGACTGGTATGCGCAGCCTCCGGCAGAGGTTCGAGATCTGGGTGGCTGTGGCGAGTTAGAAGATGACTATGCAGAGTATACTGTCACCACCTACCCGAACCATTCTTTCCGCCAGAGGTAACAAATACAGCGTCTACTACACCATCCACCTCAGGACGTCCGAGTGTTGTCAAATCCTCATTTTGGAAACTCCGCTTCAACCATTGTACTTCGCCAGCCTCGATACGTTTCGCAAGGCCGTAGTGGAGGGTGGCATCTTCGGGCGCAAGTAGTATTGGCTTCGCACCAACTTCTATTGAGCGTGTGCATCGTGCGCCGGCAAGTGGGTTGGATCCGACTATAAGATGGATGTGCGATGTCGCATCGACTGCAGTGAGAAGTGCAGGCGCCATTATGGAGATTGGAGTGATGCAAAAAATACAATATCCAAATCCAAGAAGGAGGGGTAATTGTTTTATGAGTAAAGATAATACTGAACGCGACTACTCCTCGGCCGCCGAATTGATAATGGGCATAGCGAATTGTTGTTCCGATAGCGACGAGCCGATATGGCGCGATCGCACTAGTGACATCCCCGCGGAAAAAGAAGGATTCTGAGTGGCATACTGACCCAATCGCCGATGGTGCAATTGGCTGCTATCATATTTGCGCGGAGTTAGTCCATTTGCTCGTCTCGACCCATTACAATGTTGAGAGCCTTCCGGCTGAGCATGACTGTGTGCCCAAGTGCGTTGAGCTTTGCTGAGGCGGATATCAAGGCTGGATCTTGGCTTTCAACACGGATCTTCTCCTTGACACGGACTTCGCGGTTCTTGTATGTGAAGGTACGGTCGGCTTCGTCGTGTGTAGGGGCTCGGGTGCCGCCGAGGGCTGATGCAAAGGTGTTGCGGATGCTGAACCCAGTGAGTGAGCCGCTATCCCCCGCATGATGGGGCTCCAGGGTGCGGATTTCGAGGACGAGGGCAGCGTCGAAGACAAACAGGTGGAAGGATACATTTGCAGGCAGTGGAGGATCAAATGTCTATTACAGTCAGCGAAGCTCTCAGTCTGTGCAGATAGGCAGCGTACGTTTTCGTCAACGGGATTGTCCCACCACGAGGGCTGGACAGGCGAATGGCCTTTGAGAGCAGCTTGTGCCTCAATTATGTGGTCGTGTAGTAGTTGGAGTTGGCCCGAGACGAATTGGGCGTTGGTCGCGTCTCCTCCCCAGGTAGCGACATCGATGGCGTCTAGACAACTGTTGATGGAGGTTCGTACAGCAGTAAGCTGGGGAACAACGAGGGTAGGTGCATGCGGTGCAGAGGAGATGACGAGGTCCCAGGTCAATGAGCCCTTTGGCGGTGGGAGGCTTGCGAGGCGGAGCTTGATGTTCTGAGGACAGTGAGTAGATGCTCCAGTGTACATAAACGACCAAGTCATGACCTACGCCTTTGGTGATGCGCGTGCCGATGCGCGTAATGAGGCCCTTGAGGCTCTCTGAGCGCACAGAGGTCAACACCAGCGTAGACCCATTTTCAGAGGGCGCAAGCAGGGCGGCACACTCGTCGAGGCCGGCTTTGAGCGACTGCAGCGTCTCGCGCAGCTGGACAAGCAGCCACTCGAGCTCGCGCGCTTGCGATGCGGCCTGTTCCTGGGCGAGACGGTCCTCGTCGATGGGCGGCCATATCGCGGTGGACATGACGGCGGTGGGTTTCCAAGGCAGGACACAGCACCCACCCGCACACACTCAAAAGACGGATGCAGCAAAGCAGCAAGGCAGGATTCCGTCTTGGTCAGCCACGCAGGCGCGATGGGCGGGCGCAGAGTCGACGCAGCAGATCTCGCTTCTATCCGCCCAAGGCCCGCATCCCTGCCCTGGATCAGACCCTCCTTGTTGCAGCCGGGCGCAACCTTCAAACACGCCTGCATCCTCTGCTAATTACTAGACACTTTACTGTCGCTGCGCATACACTCAAACAGCACCATCTGCCGTCGTACTCGCATCCGAGCCATGGACCCTTTTTCCTTGCTGTGTGCCTCGGGATGATGCAAAGCGCGTTCATAGTGTCGTAACCTAGTGAGGTGACGAAGCTAGCCACGACGCCAGAGAGCCGACTCTCCCACAGCAGCATACGTCATGGCTTGGCCAGACTTCTTAAACCAGCTCTCCCAGACCCTTTCAAGTGCACATGTCCACTGTTCATCTCCAATAATAATATAGGCCCTCGTGCAACCCTGTCAATCATTGCTGGCACTGTCCTCTCTGTTACAGCTCTACAGTTGGATATCCTCCTCTCCCCACCATGGCAGGCCCGGCTAGTATGCTGTCCCGCTCTTTTCCGCCGTCGCCTATGCGCTGACATACAAAATAGGACCCTTGCTCGCCATTGCCTCGCTGGTCCTCGTTGCTGCTGGCCTTCTCTTCCAGTTCTTGACCATCCTGACTGGCGGCGTCAATAAGTCCCCGCTCGACAGGTTCTATTTCCTCGAAGCCTCTACCAACGGCATTCCCAACGCCCGCAACCCCTCTCGATGGACCTTCTTTGCCATCTGCGGTGAAAACCCAAGCAATGGCCGTAACGCAAACTGCGGCTCACCTGTCCCCGCTCTTCCCTTCGATCCACCAAGGAACTTTGGCACTGAGCAAAACATCCCTGATGCCTTCCTCGGCACGAAGCAGTACTTTTATCTGTCTCGCTTCATGTTTGCCTTCTACCTAATTGCTCTTTTCTTTGCTGCCATTGCCCTGCTTTCCGGTCTCCTGGCTCTCTTCAGTCGTCTTGGGGGATATCTGTCATCTCTCATGACCTCCATTGCCCTCTTCTTCCAGGCCCTTGCTGCTGCTCTCATGACGTAAGTTTTACAGACTACTAGCGCTTGACAAATGCTAATAATCACTAGCGCATGGGTTGTCAAAGGTCGCAATGGCTTCCGGTCCGCCGGCTTCGAAGCTCGCATCGGCCGTTACCTCATGGGATTCACGTGGGCTGCTGTAGCTTGTTACTTCCTAGCTACCATCATGTTCTGCCTTGGTGGCCGTCTTGGTGGTGACAGCTCTTCGAGGATGCGCCGCAACCGTTCCACAAAGTCAACCCGCAGCCGTGGGAGTTTTTTAGACACTGATTCCCAGCGCAGGGTCAAGAGCGACTACTCTGTATAGACTAGGAACTAACGAGGAAGGAGACAGGACTCGGAGGCGTTGTCCTGAACCAACTGTCTTTTCTGCAACGATATCCACGATTTACTTCAATATACATGTACAAGTATAGTTACTCTTGTAATAGCGAGCAACCACATAATGCGACTACACCCTAGTTTAATGATGACTATTTTCCCATATAAAACTAATAATTGATTTGCGGTTGGGCATTTGAAGTTTCTTTCTACACTAAACTTCCACATCTGCTTTGCTTATGCAGTCTTGCCCGTAAGTTTCTCGTATGCCTCCCGATATTTCGCCGCAGTCTTCTCCACGATGTCAGCCGGAACCTCGACTCCCTCCTTACCCTTCAACCCATTACTCGTCAGCCAGTCCCTCAAAAACTGCTTGTCGAAGCTTGGTTGCGCCTTGCCAAGATTCTGCTCCCAAGTATCCTTTGGCCAAAACCTCGAGCTATCCGGTGTCAGAACCTCGTCAACCAGCACCACCTCACCCTTTTCATCGATACCAAACTCGAACTTCGTATCAGCGAGAACGATCCCCACTTCTTCTGCGCGAGATGCAGCAGCAGTGTAGATAGCCAACGAAAGCTCCTCGACCTTGCTTGCAATCTTCTCGTTTCCAATCATCTCCCTCGCCTTCTCAGGACTGATATTCTCATCCTTGCCGCCAACCTCCGCTTTTGTGCTTGGCGTCCAAAGCGGCTGCGGCAACTTCTGTCCTTCGATCAACCCCTCTGGCATCTTGATGCCATTGACAGTTCCGGACTTGGTGTACTCTGACCACCCAGATCCCGTGATGTACCCACGGACAATAGACTCAATAGGCAGAATTTGCAGACGCCGGACTTGCATGCTGCGGTCCTTGAGGTCTGTCTGGCTTGCAATTGACGAGGGAAGATCATTGGTGATGAAGTGCGTTTTCAGTCCAGGCACCTTGGTTGGTAGGTAGTTGAACCAGTAGATGGACATTGCCGTCAGTAGAGCGCCTTTGCCTGGGATTCCCTAACCATCTTGTCAACATTCTTGCCTTGTAAACTCTCTATTTGTTTTGTTTCTTCTGGAAAAACTCACATTTTCCATAATCACGTCATAGGCTGATATGCGGTCGCTAGCGACGAAAAGCAGGGTATCATCATCAATCGCATATAGATCGCGCACTTTTCCTGATGCGACTTTTGGCAGCTTGCCTTGAATGTCGATGTTGGTGACGGCTTTGGAAGACATGTTTGGCTGTCTTTGTCAAGGGGTTGTTGAATTGAATTGCTTGGATGACTGGTAAAGGAAGTTTTATGCATTAGTATTTTATGCCCTGCATGAGCAATTGGCGGGGCGACTGTGGCGCAGGCGCTGTGGCGTACGATACGCAAGGCACCTGGTTTTGAGATCTGTGCAAGTCTGTTTGTTCTGATTCAAAAAGCTATCAATCTAATAGACACATTTAATGCGCCTGATTACATGAATAAGAGTTAATATATAGCTTTGGCTTCGTCTTTGAACTGTCTCGTCCACAGAGAAACTACGTCAGCCAAATTGGGCACGGCGCGTAGATATTGTCACACCAAGCTCTATTCGGCACCCTAGCCCCGTAACCACACCTCACTCAACCATCGCTCCATCCCTTCTACACCCTTGTAGGTACATATTACCATCTCCAGATGGCTTCAGTTCAGTTCACGGCACTGATACGCCTTCCGTTTATTCGGGGTGACTTTGAGGATCCGCCACAGGCAAGATGCCCCTGTTCGCCTTCTGGAGGCATCATCTGACCATTACCTAGGCACAATGGGATGCCGAAAAGGATCGGCAACTCTGGAAAGTTATATCCAAGTCGTCAAAGACTAGTGATTTGAACTGTGAGTATCTACTTTGTGCATCTGGAGCCATAAACTAACATGGTATAGGGGTTGAGTTGTACGTATGTGCATCGTAATGGAAATGACAGCCTTGCTTACTTCGCTTTAGAGCGGACAAGTTTCAAGTTCCGCCTACCTTTCTTCTACAGCAAGCAGCATGGTTGTACGAAAGGCATCTTGACCATGTTCGAAACCAGATGAAGAAGGTCAGCATTACAAATGCTGTTCCGTCATCACCTACAGTCGGCAGCACCATGACTGCTGTGGGTGGTGTGGCCATGCGAAGAGGCGGTAGCGCCGGGTCTGGGGGTATGATCTGTTCTTACGATAGTGTCCGTAACTAACAATGAGTAGCTGGAAGGACACCATCTGCCTTGGCTGGGCGTTCGAGAGAAAGCCCTAGTTTGCGTAACGCAGAAGTAGCGACGACTCCCGGTGAGCATATCCGATGACGGACTGCAGGTGATCTTAAGAGATAAGTCTTCTAACAAAATTAGCTCCTTCTCTTTCGAGGACACCCTCTACGACTACAATCACTCAGTCTCGAGCACATGCTCAGGCGCCTACTCGAACACTATCTACTCGGTCTACCCAGCGTCCCAACCTAACAAGCCGCAAGTCAGAGGAAAGGACTCAAGCCTCAAACTTGCCTCACCCAAGTTACAGAAATGATGAGGATGTCTCACCTGAGATCCCAGAATCATCATCTTCAAGCTCATCCTCTTTGTCGGATGCGGACCATCCAGTTCACCGCAGTCAGTTGTTTAAGAGACCTCCTCGTTTCCAACAGAAGCGCCCACGAGATCTTGCTACATTTGATGAGGGCGATGGTGCACAGGAGTTTGATGAGTCTGGTTCTCATGAGACGAGTTTGCCCTTTGCATCTGCAGCAAGAACGCAACCAAGTAGCAGCAAATTTGCACAGGACGCACAGTTTCGCGGTAGTACCAAAGCAGAGCAAAACGCTGTACTTCCCCATCGCTCTAGGACCGACCCACCATCCAGACAAAAGTCAATTGATGTACAGTCCCTTACCACTGAGACAGCGTCGTCAATGACCAGCTCAGGCGGGCCTCCATCGGCAGCGAAGAGTCCTATGAGTCCACCTCTAGGCCATCGTGCAGCGTTAGGTCGGCTTGGTAGCCCGAGGAGTGGTGGGCCACGATCTAGAAAAGAAGGCAGTGAAGGCACCCCTAGTATGGGAAGTAGCTTCAGTGATATTGATGGTGAGTTCCCAATTAAACCGTATATTAACACTAACTAACATCGAGCAGATGCTGGAATTAGCCAGTCGGCTCTCGAGGAAGCGCTGCTGAGCAACATGCAACATGGGCGAATGAGCACATTGAGTCGCATGTCGAAGTGGTAGGCAACGACGTATTAGGGATCGGAAAGTCTTGGCGGTCGAAACGGAGTTTGATTCATACAAAGAATACCATCACCCCTCACTGTATTGTTTGTAATCCAGTTTCACCTTTCTAACAATCGTCATAGCCATCTAGCCTTGGCGTCAACTCACCACCTCGCATCGACCGCTTTCTAAACAGCATGTTCCTACAAATACTGTTTGTCACACTAACTCAACTGACTACCACAGCCATAATGGAGCGAGGACCATTGCTGCCAAGAATCATCATCTCAGACTACACAATTACGCCCCCAATAGCAACATCATACCACGCGATCAAAGCTTGTCATCCAGAGAAAGAAGACACCATATTCTTTGGCCAAACTTACAAGCTCATAAAATCACTCCTCACTTACCCTCGTTGTCCGCACCGCCGCGGCACTTCCACCTGGCCCTGTCAACCTTGCGAAACAACCTTCACACGCGCATACTGGACCTGTGCCAGCCTGCTCCTGGACTACTATGCAGACTTTTATGCCCACGATAGCGCGCTCATGCAAGCTGTATGGTTCCACCTTTTTGACATATGGCAGGAAAGCGCAGCATGGATTATCGACAGCCTGATATTAGATGTCAGAGCAGACCGACGAACAAGCAAAGCAGATAGAGCCCGATGCGCAGCAAAAGCTCGAGAATTCGTCAAACACGTCAAAGACACAGTCGAGCTCGTCGAAGTCGTCCTCTGGGGCCGCAAACAAAGCACCAACACCGCCGCTGCCGCGCACCCGACTCAAGAAACCATCCTTTACGACCCGCGAGGCGAGGTATGGCGTCCCAACGGCGAACACGACACCGGCCCATGGATCAGCGGCATAAAGCCCTGGTGCCAGTTCCTGTACAACGGCGGACCAGGCGTAGCGCCTCCTCCTCTCCCCCCAACGTTCGCTCCTCAGAAAACAGACGACAAAAATAATAACACTGAAGGAAGAGTAACAACAACACGCTACGTCCCTCACTCCGCCATCGCAATCCTAACCGCACACACCCAGCGCGCCCGCGCCCTAGCCTCCACACTCTACACCTCTCCCATCCCCGAAGACACCGCTCTCTCCCGCCTCAAACAATTCGATGCATACGCCCCTGTCTTCCCCACCCCACGCCACCCCACACATACCTTCACGTCGCCGTTAACGGGCCACACGGTATCGTACGCGTTAGGCAACGGCGCGCCCCCCGTGCTGCGACATGTCGGGTTTGCAGATCCGGAGATGAGCGATGAGCGCGCCGACTGGATTCTACTGGATGACTGCGTGGCTATACTCAAGGAATTGGATCCGTATTTGGGAGTCAGTGCCGAGATGGGGGATGCAGGGGATGGGGAGGAAGAAGCGGCGTTTGATGTCTGGACTGTGGTTGAGGTACGAGAGAAAGAAAAGGGGGGAGAGGTGCTGGAGTTGGGGACAATGTTTGAGAAGTGGTGTGGGATTGGGGAGTGTGAAGTGGGTTCCAAGTCGTTCTAGGGAATGAGGGGGAAGGGGGGGGGGGGTGCAAAGAGAAGTTATCTGGTAGTAAAATGAATGTTTTGTCTTTTTCATTTCTCTTTTCTAGAGGAAAAAAAGAAGAAGAAAAATCTACGCTACTAGCTGAAATGCCTTTAAAACTGACCAAGCTACCTATAATAACCAAAACACCACGCAAATACACAATGATAATAATAAGAATAATAATAAAAAAACAATATACATAGTTTCCACTTAAGCTACACACACAGACACGCCATTTCCCACACGAGATTTCCCTTGATTTCAAGAAAACCCACAGCTCATGTGTTTAATCTTTTATCGCAGCAGAGAGCTTTCCTCATTTCCCTTCAACAACAACAAAAAAGATGCCAATAAACAATAACACACAGGCGCGCAACGTACATGAATAATTCCAATACTCGAATACCCATTTCCAACCCAAAAAAAGCCCTAAAAGAATAACCAAAAAAAAAAACGCTGCATGCCAAAATTTGTGAGCTTTGCGAATGTTTCTTCTTCCCTCTCGCCCATACAAAGATAAAAGGACAAAAAACAACAACAAAGAACAAAGAACAAAACTCCGGTGTAATGCGATGTCATAAGCAGATCATAGCAGTTCAACCCGGGATAACGCCGTGCTTCATGCTCTGGAGGACCAAAAATCCCCCCTCAAAAAATATCACAATGAATCTGCCGGGGGAACAAACGAGATAACGAGGGTACGAAAAGAACATACACGAAGCGAAGGTGGTTCTTTAGAAAAAAAGCCTTTCCCTTCAGAGTATGTGATGGGATCGGGTCATTGTAGAAGGAAAGTGCCGACAGGAGGACCCATTACACCCTACGCGCTCCAAAGAGACTCAAGTTGATTGCAGTCTCATTCCCGGTGGGATTGCCTGAGCTCTCGGCTAGGATTTCCCATCTTGGCTGGACGAAAGGATAGTGTCGGATTTCCTTCTCTTGCTTCAGCTGCAATTTGCCAGGCGCCTGCGTGACCCCCTGGCCCTGACCCGCTGCAGGGGTCGGGCGTTGCGAATACACAGGCGAAGGTTGCATGGCGCGCTGTTGCATCTGCTGCATCTGCTGCATTTGTGAGAGTGGTGATGGGGTAGCCTGGCCTGAAGGTGTTCGCTGGAGCTGGGCGGGGAGCATCTTGTTTTGTGGATGTTGTGAGTATTGCTGCATGTTGCGCGTTTGTTGTGCTTGCTGGGCGGCCTGCATTTGCTGCTGTCGTTGCTGTTGCTGGCTCGAGTACCGTTGTTGAGGTGTCGAAGATCCCGTGGCCTGCGTTTGCGGATTTTGGTACGGTGTCGGCTGTCCTTGCAGTGGTGTAGGTGTCGCTGGCTGTGACGAGCTTTGATTTGGAGGAGCGTTGACGGGTCTTGCAAGCACAAGCCAACCATCAACAGGCGCTGTCACCCCAAGAATGAAGACGCAACGTGAGTCATTCGCGAGTCGAGCACCATCCAGCCGGGTGACATGGAATCGTACATCGTCGGAGATGTAATCCGAGAGGAATACTGTAACGTCAAACACATGTTCAGTGATTGTAGGATACAGTTCCAAAGTGGGGTGAGTGAGCATGGCTGCCATAGTACTCATCATAGCCGTCTGGTACGGATGCGTAGCATTGCTAATCATTGTGGACGCGTGGGACACTGCCAATCGGAGTAGAGCCGTCAACCAAGCGTAGAAGTCTAACACTGAGAGCTTGTTATCATCAAGAGCTTGAGTCATCCCTTTGAGCCTCTCGATCAAAGCTTGAAGCATGCCAGACTGTTCCGTACTTTCAGCGCCCTTGCTAGGAGTTAGATCGATGACGGCGAGGAACTTCTGGACGGTCTTGGGGGAAACAATCTCTGACTCTTCTACTTTGGTAGTCGACAATGCAGTCAGGAAAGCGGAAGCGTTGATAATCTCACGCTCTGCATTTTGTCGTATCTGCCCTGTCAGCGAAGCGTCCAAACTCGCAAGAAGCTCTAGTCCGGATGGCCGGTCCTCCTCCACTGCTAATCTGATGGCATTGAGAAGGGTAGCAGATAGCGCCTCACTGGAGCCCTCAGACGCGGTCGCTCGGGAAGAGAAGATTCGTTCAATGGCCGCCTGACAGATGGGCAATGACAGCTCACTAGCAAGTGAAAATACCGCAGCCACCTGCTGTTCAGGAGGTTTCTGAGATAAACCTAAATGGTCGTTTGGATCAAGAAGGGTATCTAGCGACTGATTCAGGCAATCACTCGAAACGTCTTTACTTAGCTTACTCAGACATCCTGGATCGGTAGCGATGTGAGTATTCAGAATTGACAGCACCGGCCTACTACGCATCAAGCTTGCAAGCTGTGTTTGAGTCTTGTGCGAAGGGATTATTGAGCCAAGCCCAATCAGCTCACCTAGACACTGCATGAAACGCCCTTCAGTCTCCAAGCATAGCTTTCGCTGCTCGAGGCGATATCGATACGCATCTTGGGGTGAACATGACTGAGCCAGCGCATCGGACGGCAGGATGATGTGCATACCCTTCAGTGCGCTCTGGAAGCAACCTTCAGATGGGCTTGTCTTGAATCTTGCAACACAGGCTCGCAAAGTTTCCAGGAAAGAAGTCAGAGCAACACAGCCAGAGCCAGCTAGCGTGGGCAGAGCTACTCGCAAGCTGTCGGTTCTTTGAGCCATCAAGCTTGAGGCCAGCCATTCATTCACAACCATATCAAACGTTGGCTCATCGAAACAGCGGAGTCGATGGAACCAGCCATGATGGCTGTTCAGATGCACGGAACCTTTGCCTGAATGCTCTTCTATGTTGCTTACAATCTTGCGGAGTACTCGACCCATCATCTGCTGGTCCATACTGGTACCACTAGAAAGGATACGCTCAATTTCGTCATCAGAGGAGGATCCTGTCTGCATAACTTCACCCATGTTATCAGAGGCAGGCGAGCAGGCAATAAGCGAGTTACGCTGACTGAGTTGACTCAAGTCATAGTTGAGAAGCTGTGGGAGCTGTCCATCAGTTTGGGCGGTGCGAGCTAGACTAGCAAGGCTGAGCAGGAGCTCGCGATCGGGAAATCGGATCGTTCGCAAGGCGACATATCTCGCTGTAATTCTGGCAAATAGAGGATCGAAGGCACCTATGGCACGGAAGGCTTTGGCGTGGTAGTTAATCGTGTCCGCAGTGGAAGCAAGAACACTGGAATCCAAAGATGAAGTCGCGATACCAACAACGTCCGCAAGTATAGCGAGATCTCCAAAACGTTCGAGGTAGGACCTTACAATATGGAAATCCAACGCCGTTAGCAAGGACACTGCAGCAGTCTCTTCTCCTGGCGCATCTTTGGTAGGTACACTATAGAAAGTTAGCGAACTACCGTACGTGTCAATAAAAGGCCTTACTGCTCGTTGACTTCTGCATACTGAGCAACTTGTCGGCGTAACCAGATACCTAGCTCAAACTTCACGGTCGGACTAAGCTTGTCTAGCTCAACTTCGTTCATGTCCGTCGTGGAATTGTAGAGCCCAAACAAACTAGGCAAAGTCTGAGACATCATATGTTTGGCGTAGGTAAGGGCTCTTTGCTCTGATTCTGCAGAGTGTACGGTCCCACGAAGGAGGGTGCTCCGCAGGGTGCGAATCTGATCAGGCAGTCCAGTAAGGGGTATCTCGGTGACTAGACGCAGCGGCCAGGAGGCAGGCTGGTAACGGATTAGAGTAGATTCATCACGCTGACGAAGGCAACTTACCACAGAGAGATCTGCACCATGCCCCACGGATCCAGTAGCAATAAGCCATTGTAGGTAGCGTCCGAGCGCGAATGTTTTGGAACGAACCAGTTCTGCGACTACCTTGAAAAGAAGGCTAGGATCGCCTGTTGCAACCCATGTCATTTCGCGCAAATACGAAATGATGCCGTCATACACATCGGCTCCGAGATGATTCCACCGCCGAAGTAACCGAGTCGCGAGATACACCCTGTGTGCACCTTCTCGATAGTACGTGCAAGTCCAGCGGAGGAGAACACCGATTAGGCGGGGCGCATCCGCAATAATCTCCATGCAGTCATAAGACAAGTCTTCGATGCGGACTGGCCTATTGTAGTCAACAGAGTCTAGGATGCGATAGACTCGGCCGGCAGGCGTTTGTGAAGCGAATGATGGTCTCTGGGGAGCCTTTGACAACCTGCAATTTCGCTGCTCAAGTCTCCGGATGGCTTGGGTGACGTGTGCATGGTTCCGCCTCTCTGCAAGTTTCTGGAGAAGAGGGCCGTACTGCGTCCACGATGTCGGGAGCAGTAAACATGCTGGCCGTGTTGCAAGTAGTCTGACAACGGTGTTTTCCAGGTATTGCAAGACAGCCAGGTAGGGACCCTGTTCCTCTAGTCGATAGATCCTGTCAAGTTGGTTGAGCAACGACTCAGCAAGACGCTTGCCGCGGCGACGGCAGCACGTAACGTCCGCCCAGTAGTGAGAAATGGAAACAACCAACAGCCAGATGAATAGACGCTCCGATGCACATGTGTCTAAGCCGTTGACTATCCAGTCAAGAAAGTGGTCGTCGTCGAGAAGGTGCTCTTTGTAAAGATGGGTAGCCAGTTGGAGGGCATACGTGATTCGTGGTTTCCAGTCGCCTTGTCCTATTCCGCCAATGACTCCGTCTATGAATTGCTCCACGGAACTGGTCCAGCCTCTTCCCCACGTCACAGTACCGGCCTGTCCCTTTCTCTTGTGAGCGCGAAGCTCGTTGATACCTACGCACTTGGCCAACCACAAGGCTCGCGGAAGCGGTATGTTCTTATTGAGGCATTGTTCCAGCAGCACCTTGCCAGTGAGTCCATGGGGTATGGTGCGGCTGAGGCGACGAAGACCTGTGGTGGGATTTGCTAGATCATGCAACCACTGCTCACGAGTGGAATCTCTAAGAGTTAGTCGGGGTGGGGGTTTGAAGGTGTTGGGGGCCTGTAAGCGGCCAGTTTGTTGCCTCTTTTCCAGGACGGCGACGAACAGGGT